CTCTCCGTGGCCTCGCCCATGGGAACTTGGTCAGGGTGTTGAACCAATCCTGGCAAAGCAATGCACCATCATCCTCGTACCTCAGCACCGGGTGCCTCCATACGGCTGCACATCCTCTTCCGCATGTACTCCACCTGGATCTTACCCGTCAATAACCTGCAGCTCAGCTTCTGGCCGGCCCGCCTCTTGCCTTTGCCCGCCTCTTCCACGCATCTGCCGCGAGCTCCAAGGCTCGACGAGCCTGCGCAGGTGCAACAGGCGCATGCTGGCTTGAAAACGGGCTAGTACCATCACGAAACAAAGGCAAACAAACAAATCAATGTAGTCGCTAGTGTCAGTACAGCAGCAACATGCAGATTCCGTCAACTCTGAGCTTCAGGCACTAACATTCTCCAGTCCAGCTGACAGCTTGGCAGCCAGCAGTGGAATTTCAGCCTTGGCTCGCACGTAAAGAATGCACTTGCCAAGCTTGGAAGTATCTCGCGGAGTGGCTACGCAATTTGATGGACTTGACGGACTTGACAGGATTGATGGGCTCGGTGGACTTTGACTCCACAACTGGACCGAGGCCAAACTCGGCCTTGGCGTCTCGCTGACCTGACACTGCCAGGCAAGAGACGCCAAGGCAGTCTCGACCCCGGCCTTTGGCCACACCGCCCTGGGCAGCAGCTCTGAGGGCGCTCGAGGTGCGGGCGCCGTTGCCGCTTGTGGCGCCGCTGCAGCTGGCGCGAGCTGAGGTTCCGGCCTGGGCACCGGCCTCAGCGAGGCAGCGAGGCGAGGAGGCGAGGCGGCGAGGCGGCGAGGCGGCGAGGCGGCGAGGCCGAGGCCCGTCACGCCCGTCACCGTCCAAGAGCACCGAGCCGATGAAGACTGCGGTGGCCTCGGCGGAAATGCAACGAGTGCAACGAGTGCAACAGGGACACCCATGGCGCACCGAGCAAAGGGTCGCCGCATAGAGACAGCAAAAGGCCTCATTGACAAGACCAAATCCCAAAAGATCCAAGATCCAAGTGCCCATTGCCGAGGAGACGACCCAGTCTCTTGGGCCTGGAATCCACGGCTCTTCGCGAGGCGCTCTGGCGCGTCCTTTCATCGCCTGCCGCTTCGACGCTTTCCATCGCAAAATTCATTTCTTCGGCCTGGGCCTCTCATCGCCCTTCCAAGACCTCACACAGTCTGCCAAAACCGCAAAGAAGCTAAGAAGCTAAGAAGCTTCGCCAGGCGCCTCTGGAAAGCAACGCCACCCGAAGCGCTGGCATCGAGGGAAGGCTGCAAGGATAGTCTTGATGTCTTTCTGGAGTCTGGTTATGAGTTGCTCAACTTATGCGGCTGTTGAGGTCTTGGGCCTCTCCTTGAGTTTGCCAAGAGCTGGCATAGTAGCACATAGCTTCTGACATCTCTGACATGTGTTTCGGCGCAGACAAAGCGAATCGTTCCTTTTGCAGTTGAGCCGTGCAGGTCTTGCACTCGAAATCCAGGACAGTCGGTCCAGTGTCACCAAGCTGACGAACGGCACTTCGAGATGGGACTCGTTTGAAGCAAGTAAGCAAACATGACATAAACATGTATAATATACACATAACATTATATCTAACACTATCATCATAGAGTATATAATTAAAGGGTCATGATGGACTCCCCACATCTCTCTGGCAGCCTGGGCGTCCTGAGTTGGAGGCCCTAGCCTCGACTTACTTGAATTCCCAGCCACCCGCTGAGGGCCTCTTTGAGGGCCTCAGGGGCTTTTCTAGGGGGCGTACAGCGCCTCGTCTCCCCACTTCCGGCAAGTCGCAGGTAGCAAGGTGATATTCTTCAAGCTCTATGAGCTCCATCTAGCCTCTAGCTCCATCTAACCGAAGTCAAACATCTAACCTCAGCTTTGGCTCTTGGAAGATATTTGTCCGAAGTCCACGTCCACCATCCATCGCATCAGCATCAAGAAGTTCGGGAAATCCAACCTAAGCTGGCCAAAGCTCGCAACATTCGGAGAAGAAACACAAAAAACAGAGCCTATCAGGCTGAGTGCTCGGCCCGTCTTTCCCACCTAGCGAGGTGATCTCGTCATCCAGCGCTTGCCTATCTCGTCCTTCCAAAAACATGAATTCAAAGTTGTCAAGACCAGGACTTGCACTGCGACTCCTTCGAGTCGAATGCCCATGCTGCGCAGAAGCTTGTATACGGCATTCCTGCTCGGATGGCTTCCGGTGCGGTCCAAGCAGCTGGCTTCAAACTGGCTTATGCTGGGTGCACACAGTGCCGTATGACAGAACAACATTGCATGGTCCGCGGCAGCATCTTCGTGTCCGTGAGACTTACACCTCGCAGAGAAGACCAGCAATGGTCGAATACCTGCAAGACTCTCGAACGGGCACTTTACTTTCAGCCTTACGGAAGCAAAACTTTCAACTTCCGAGCCTCCTGAAACTGGCTCACCTCCTGGCAACTGGCAACAACTGGCAACAACTCGCAACTGGCAACTGGCAACTGGCAACTGGCAAACACTGGCAAACACTGGCAAAAAGCGCGACCACTTGTCAGCCTGAGAGTTGAACTTCACCTCCTCGCAGACATGCATCAGCCTCCGCTCCCTCTCCTCATCCTCGCGAGGTCGAGACTCAGACAAGGAAATGGACCCGGGAATATCCGGAAAGCCGAGGGGGAAGCAGTTCAAAACCGCTTTCAGTCTGGCCCAGGCTTAGTCAGAATTCCCATGAAAAGCACAAGCAACAAGGACATCTGCCGCACTCGGCATCCATCACTTGGCCACACTGCACCACTATCTGCTATTTGCATGTCATTCTACACTTCAGGCTTGAGGAGGAGCTACTGGAGCCCCGAACCCCAAGTACAATTGCTTGGCTTTGCGAAAGCCAATGCTGTTTCTATCTGCGCTTGCTTTTCAACAATGACTTTGCCAACATTCATGGAACACATGCCTTTAGAGGCCTGTCTGCATGAGATAGTCTTGAGCTCCGCTCTGCATTCGAGGAAATTGAGGGCAATGCGGGCAATGCGCAAGACCGTCTCCTGCTTCCGCTTCATTGCACGAAAGAGCTGAAGGAACACCCAAAAGTTCACCTGGTTGTCCACCACGCCCTGCGCACGAGTGACAGGTCAAAGGCTAGTCTTTGCTTTCACTATCTTTCACTGGCCGCCTCGGCACCGGCTTCTTTGGCCGATTCGCACGCGCGTTTGATCCTTGGTACTGTGTCACATAGCGTGGACATACGCAATGTGGCTCAAAGCCAAGGTGCTGGTCAGCCATGGCCATTCGCTCCTCAACTTGAGCACACTTGCAAAGCAAATTTGGGGAATCTGAAGTTTCAAACAAAATAGGGGGGACCATGCAGGTCGAGGCATTCGCAGACGCCACCGAAACGACACCAAACAGCTTCTTCAAACTCACTCTTCTCGGCGGTCCTCCACGCTGCGCACCTCGATGCCCAGAGTCTTCAGCAGCTCGCTGGCCTCCCCAACGGGCACAGCATGCGTCGTTTGTCTCTTGCTATCTCGGACTCTCGGTCCAGTCTGGCTCCCTCTTGTCCATGTTCGCAATGACAAGGATCTTGCTGCACGGATCAAGCTCCGCACGCGCAAGCCTAACTTTCGGCTCAAGCGGCCCTGGCCTCGTTGGGCCGCAAGTTTCCCACGTGCTTTACATCAAAGGTGTCGAAGACCTGTCGGATCTCCGCCACCTAGGTGCAAAGGATGGGCCGTCTTGGAAACTCTCTGTAAAGCCGCGCTTGAACAAACCGATGCCAGGTCCTTTCAGGTCAAGTCCTTTTTTAGACCCCTCTTGGGCCCCGTAGGTGTGAACAGGCCTCGCTCTCGGAGTACCCCGCAAACTTCCGGGCAGCGTGGACAGTCTTCTCACGGAACTGATCCTGAGCAGAGCTTGGTACCGAACCTGGATTCAAGCACTGTGTCACGTTGCAGGGCACCCACTGGCAGGCATGCAAGTTTAGAGGGCTATTCGTCTCTGGGCTCTTGTGGACTTTCATGAGGCTCCGTCAGCCAATTAGAATTGAGTGTCTGAGTTGCAGTTTTTACTTGCAGTTTAGGGAACCAGCTTGCAACCATGTTTTGGACATTCTCTCCAAATGTTTGGATTCAAACAGGAGTGTAATGCAAGCGCAATCCAAACTCATGCGAGAAAGCTGGTCAGCCATGTCAAACACCTTTGAGAGCTGAAGTGTTTTCCTCGAATATCTGCCGCAGACTTGTTCACCTGTCTGCAAGCTGCTTCAGTATTGAGTTCGAAAGATGTAGAAGGCTCCGATTTGCTCTCGCAGCACAATTCAGCTCGTTGGGCGATTCTCCACTCAAGAACAGCCAAAGGGTATCCCTCAAGCAGCCAACTGTGAGTTGTCAAACAAACCGCCTAGAATGCCCTGTTTCTCCAATTTGCTGACAATGGCGACGGGTGCTTCTTTTCATCGAGTGCCACAGGGACGTGGACCGGCCACTGACAAGCGGCTGTGAGGCGGACCTTGGATGCACAAGGCAAGTCTCATTTTTTGAATGGACTCACTCTGCCTGTACGCGAGCTCAAGATAATATTAACTCCCAATTGATCCATGATACATGACATATTGTATGTCAAATGCCGTTTTGACATGCCTGAGAACCATCTGAGACCCAACTTGAAAAACTTTGTACACCAAGTGCGCATTCTGTCGGGAGGCGAAGTCATCGAAGTCCAAATCCTTGGCTTCGCCTGCCAGGTGCTCGACCTCCACGCACTCTTCGTTCAGAAGCATGGTGGCGGCCTTCTCCACCTTCGCGAGTCCGAATCAAATCCGCGATGTGTGGGCAGATTGGATTCGCCAAAACGCGGATTTGTTTCTGGAGACGTTTATGCCCAGCGTCAACTCAACTGGCCACGACTGCGTTGAACTGTCTAGATCTGTCCAGCACCCTCGGACAGAATGGTGGCCTCTGTAGCACGAATGACTGCTGGGTGCACGGAGTTGTCGGCGCTGTTCATGAAAATCAGCTTCACTCGTGCCAGTTGCCTTTCGCGGAATAGCCGCATGAAGCGGATGAATTCCTTGGTGACATTGTGGGCAAACCTGTGCTAGGCTTGGTGAAGCATGGCAGTGAAAAAGGCTTGAACAAATCAATGGCTCTTAGCTTGGTGTCTCGAATGTCCAGCACACCATTGCCGTTGATGTCCACACTGGCGAGCAAGCTCCGCACCTGCAGGAAGCCCAGAACTCGCCGGGAAATGGCAATGGAGATGCGATTCAAACAGCATGCAACCCGTGAAAACAAATGAACGCACTCTGCCTCCTCTATTCTGGGGGCTTGCCCCAGCTCTCGCATCATGTCACTAAGCTCGATAGTGTTGATGTCTCCGCTGCCATCCTCCGAATCGTGGCATGAAAAGCCGAGGGAAGAAAGAAGAAAACATGGACACAAACATTCTGCTGCATCTGGAACAGTCCTTGTCATATCTTTTGAACGTTGACGTGATGCGGGCGATCTCCTGCAGTGAGTCACAGACGACTCCATAATCTCTGCCAAACATAAGACCAGCGGATTTGAAAATCACATGTCCTCTTGATTGAAGCCATCGGTCTCGTTGAGAATCTGCATGAAGTGCACGAAACTGTCATAGTCCAGGCCAACTTCAGCGGTGTGCAGTATGTCTCCGCGTACCCGCGCCTCACGGACGCTTCAAGTAGAGGTGAAAGAGCTTATGGCAAGTCCGCCTCGTACATCAGCTCATCGACCGTTCTTTGTGGAATGGTGAAGCCGAGATCCTTTATGACCTCACGCCGCTACAGACTAATTGCAACTGATTGCAAATTGTATCACTCGTCTTACTTATGCAAACGCAGCACAAACCGCTCAGCCACAAAAGCCAAGGCGCATTCTTGATTTCGTTCGCATCAATGGAGTTGGAGCCGTCATCATCATACTTTTCAAAGACCTCTCCTCATCATTGGACCAAGGCATAGGGTAAGACCCCTCCACAGGCTTGGCATGTGATTTCTTGACACAATTTCCAGATTCCGAGGTGCGATAGTTGACGAACATGCGCTCCCGAAAGCGTCGTGCCCAAAGCACCGCCTCCTGGAACGTCAGCGCCGGCGGGGGACCTGGCCATGAGCAACACCTGCCCAAAGTTCCGAAGCCGCATCTCTTTGCGTCTTTGCCCTCGCCCCACCTTTGGCAGTTTCCGGGCCACCAGCGCTCTTTCTTCGGCCAGCACGGCTAAGCTCAAGCTGAAGCTCCGCGGAGAAATCCTGTGCTCGCGGCCTCAGCTTTCAGATTGGACGGAAACAAGATCCTACGTGATGGCCCAAAAGGAGAATGGGCAAATCTAGGCCCCCAGCCCGAAAAACTGTAGCAGCAGGTGTGAAAGTCTATCTGCCGGAAGCGTCCTGCCAAAAGTCTCCCAGTGGACTGAACTCACAGTGAATCTAATGGGGCCAGGGGCGAGATCGCGGTTTCGGTGTGCCATGTCATGAATGTGAATCATGTAGTCAAAACATGTTGTGACGAACGGTGGCTGTTATTTTGGCAAGAAGTAGGGCAAGAAGCAAAGGCAAAAAACGGTCCTCTCGTCTCCAGCTACCCCGCCAGCTTGTTGCTGTTCCACGAACACTGCCGTCAGCTCCTGCAGCTCGTCCAGCGTGAATCCCTCCGAATGCCTGGCAGGAAAAACTGCGGCGTACGAGTGCCGAGTGCGCCGCCTGAAGCTGACCCACTCTTTTGCTAGCCATGATCGATGCCAACCTAAAGCTAGGCTCAGGATCCGATGGTTTTAGCAGGGAGTAAACTTGGGGAAAAATACCAGTGCGTTTCACAATTTGGTGAGCCATATGCCAACATCCCTAGGTATCAGCGTGTGAAATCACTCTGATGGCAAAGATTAAGACAAACTAAGCCAAAGCCAAACAAGCTGTGCTTTAACGTGACCGCCTCTGAGTGCTAGCAGTCAAAAGCTCCTGCTTGTTTAGGTTTCGACATAGGCTTGAGTTGGGCCAAGGGCTCAAACTCAGCTTCTCAGATTCGGCTACGAGGAAAAAACTGTCTTCCGCACTCATCTTTATGGGGCAATCCGTTCTATAAAAGCGCAGCCCAGATTTAGCTAAAGCGGGTCTAGGATGCTTCTGCCATGCAAATCAATACTTTGGCTACTGCACATCGCTCGACAGCGCCTAGACCATGGTGCAGGTGTGCACGAGCAAGACTCGCGCAAGACGCTGGGACGCGTTCACGAACCATCCGAGTTGGAAACAAACGCCTGGTGATGCTAGGGATGCTACCAATGTTGACCACAGAAGCACAAAAGCTTCAGGTACCCTTAGATGCTGATGCAGCGCTCAGAACTTGGAAGACCCTGGTGATGCAGAATACTGCCACGGCGGGTGAGGCGTTTTGGGGGCTAGGGCGATCGACCATCGCCAAGCCTCCAAGCGCCTCCAAGCTTGCCCGAAATACACGACTTGCGCAAGTGGCCTGTAAACATGCATGAGGATGACGGTCTCCTCAAAGTCCAGAGTGCCGTTGCCATCCTGAAACTCTAATCAGGCTCACACTTACCTGCCACAATGGTGTAATATGGTGGTTCACGTCTTGGTGGTGCGAGACTTATTCGTAGACGTGCAAGTTGCGAACATCTTCATGAAAACTCCAAACACATCCAATGCACCAATTCTGCATCAATCTACATCTTTCGGTCCCCGGTACGGCTACAAGCCATGCAAGCCATGCAAGCCATGCATCCAGGTCCACCAAATCCAGGGACTCTCGGATGATACTCCGCAGTGGTGTGAAGCCCAAGGAGGAGAGGAAGAAGTGTAGCTCATCGGCGTCCAAGGAGCCGTTGCCTAAGAAAATAAGCAAGTAAAAACCAAAAGGAGACTTGAAGGAGACATAATTAGACCAAGATTTGAGGAAAAGCAAGAAGAAAACATATCACTTGGAGTCTTTACGCAACACACGCCGCTGCACACGTCAGGCATGATCATACGTTTTCTTTTCTAAGGGTGCTGCCATCAACATCGAATCTCTCAAAGATCTCCTTGAAGGCCTGCAACTCATACTCCACATGCTTTTCCATGAAGATGATAAACTCGTTCTTCTCCAGCATGGGATATTGACTGATGCTATCGGCCAACGACTTGCAACGCTCGTCGCTGATCTGCGTGTAGCCTAGGTGCATGAGGACCTGGGCGCGTCGCTTGAGGAAAGTCCGCTTGACTCTCGCAAATGCACCTTTGGCATCTCATCCTTGTGGATCTCCGGCGTGTCAGGGTCCTTTCGGGGAGACCAGAATGCCATGTTCATCTCTATGTCGTTGCGAGATGCCAGGTGCTCTACAACGCGCATTGTTACTAGACTGGACGCAGGTTGTTTCCCATCTTTTCAACACAATGTTGGATGCGCAAGGAATTCCTTGAAGCGCGAGAAGGCCGAGTTGATCCTCTCCATCTCCGTGCTGGAGAAGCCGTCAGCGCCAGCCCTCAGCCGCGAGATCACCTCCGAAAGCGCCGCTGCGGCTCCAAACGCGAAACTGTTCACTCAGATTCGATTTGGCTCCAGAAACTTTAACAGTGCCATGCTCGCAATGATATTTCCCGGTTTCGACGTCCGATGTAGCTCAAAGCACGTGCCTCGTTGACATCTGGCAGCCACTGGCCCAAAGAGCTTTGAGACCGGTTGAGCTTGATTGGCTCAGCAGGCCCAGCTGCTGGTGTCTCTTCCTCCGGCAGTTTCACGTCGCTGCAGTCCTCACATCAAACTTTTCCAAACTCTTGCTGGCTAAAGCATGCTAAAGCACTCCCTCAAACTGAGCCCTTCTAGTCTAATCTGAGCCATGCACGGTGCTGCAAGCTTCGAAGCTATGGCTCAGGAAGGGCTCAGCCTCTCGCCTGAGACGCTTCACGCTTGTGCGCGGGGAACTCCCTGCCCTGTGCCTATAGCGAGGTGTCGGCAGCCCACCGCCTCGCTTGGAATTCTTCGCTAGGTCCTCCAAGATCTTGCTCTGCCACCTTCCAAACCCCCCAAGACCTCACGCTTCCTCCCATCCCCTTAGGCCATGGTTTCCAGGGAGGACATGCAATGACACGTTCAGGCATTGTTTGAACGCCAAGGCACTCAGAATGGGGCGACGTGCTGCGCAGACGCGCTTCCACAGATTGTGGTCGGTGATGCTCCGCTGGCTGCTGCCGCTTGGGAAGTTGATGCGAATAGGACCGCACCATGCTGACAAGCTGTCAGTCGCCGCCCCGATAAAAATCCAACTCAAGCAATCGCACATGAGGTGCAAGGTGTGCCTGTGTGTGTGTGTGGGTGCAAAGCCGGGCTGAGTTGTCAACAATTATGGGTCTGCTGCCTCGCTGAAGACAATTAACACTCCCAGGGCTCCCAGGATGGAGCCGCGTGTTTGTGCAAACATTGAGCTTCCTTGCAGGTTTCCAAAGACGTGCATCCGAACTCCGTTGCATGGCTTCCGCATGGCTTCCGCATGGCTTCCGCACTTTTCTGGGTGAGACTTTCCAGGAGCTCCGGAGGCTCCGAGGCTCAGAGCTTCAAGCCGAAGCCCCGGGAGTTGCAAAGCACTTCCTCAGCGCAGGGCAAACGGCACTCGCGCTGCACATTTGGCGCACAGCTTATGAAAAAGTTGCAATGAGAGCACTCTCGAAAAAGTTGCAACTTGCACCGCGCCTTTGCGAAGGCCATGAGCTGCGCCCACTCCTTGTCGGACCTCAATCGGGCTTGCACCTTGCTCCCTTTCAAGCAACAGGAGAATTTCAAGGCGCGCACTCTCCTTTGAGGTCTAGAATGTTCATGATGAAATGTTTCGTGCGCCAGTCGACCGAGTGATGTAGCTCATGCAGTCCCAGCTTGTACTTCAGCACATCTTCCTTCTCATCGTATACCTCCGTTCCATCATGCCTACGAGTAAATGACAAACATCATGAAAATCAGGCACATGCCCGTGCAACAACTGTCTGGGTGCAGGGTTCTTCTTCTCATCCAAGCGCTGATTGATGACAACCTGTGGCGCTCAGAGAACTGCCACTCGCACGAAATGAACGCTTCAGCTTCTGGCGCAAAAGCAAGCGTTTCGCAGCTCTGCCTGGGCGCTGGACTCGAAGGGACATACCAAAATTCAAAGGCGCTTGTTGGCAAGTGGGAATCCCGTCCTCGTTCATCAAGACATGCAAGTGCCTCTTCGCCAAGTTTATCCTGCAGTGAGTGGACAATTGTTGGGGGAAACGTTGAGACACCCGCTTGCATCCGGCCTCTCTTCAGCTTCGCCCCCGTCGACTACAAAGACGACACAATGTATCTTGATGGACTGGTAGAAGAGCTTCCACAGGTGCCTCAAAATATCTCAAAATTGCCAAACTCAAGGCCCAGCTTCGGAGTCAATCGCCTCATGGCTTCGGTCCCGGGAACTTCCCACACGCCGCAGGAGAAGAATCGGTTTAGCTCCTCAGTTTCCATTGCAAGGGCTGCAGGCTGCATTGCAAGGCTGAAGTCAAGGATTGCCGAATGGCCAGCGGGCCTCGTAGTGATATCCTGGGTCTTCTACCTTACCGTCCTCATTGGGCGTCCTCATCTTTTCCATCTCCTCATGGATGTTTGTCCATCCTGATCCGATCTTCAGCCTGGCATGAGACGGCCAGTGACTCGGCCAACGAAGAAAGGAAGCAAGAATGAATGCCACAAAGGAGAAAAGGGGCTTTCAAACAAATTAAAACGAGAAAGGAGGTGCTGGCCTGTAGAGCAAGGTTGTCTTGCCAGAACGGTCCAGACCCAGGATTAAAAACTGCGGAAATTCGCTGCTGCCACTGATGAGGCCGCCCGAGAAGCCGGCGCACCTCACTGCCCGGATCCCAGGCAAATGTCTGGCCTTCTGAACCCTCTAGCCGTGCACGCCGCACGAGCCATACAAGTATCTTAATGTATCTTAATGTATCTTAAGCATGTCATATCTTGGGCTGCGGCTTTGAGAAGAAGGCCTTGATCCGGGACATGATGCGCTTCCTTGCGGATCACAATGTCAGAGATTAGAATCCTGGACACATTTTGCGCGATGCTTGAAGCTGAGATTTGCGGAGTCTTGACCCCTGTGTGTCGCTTGCTTTCTCGTGGCTCCTCCAGAGAACAAAGTTTCAATCGCTTGAATTCTGCAGCATTCTGCGACGATGCCAAGGGGTTGGCCATGCTGAGGATACCAAGAGGCTTTGCTGCGCCATCGAATCTCATGCAACGGATGTCGGTCTTTGTCACGAGATGTCTGACGGCCATCGGCCGTGTTGGCCACAGCGTCTCATTAACCAACGCCCAGCGCCGCCCAGCCGCTCTGCGTCAGAAGAAACTGGCGCTGGGCTTTTCGTCGTAGGCCCCCTGCCACAAGCAAGAGGGCAATCAGTGCATATCAGTGCGCACCGCTGGCCTGGCCTCCGTCGGCGCACAAGGAAAAGCAACCTCAGACACGAAACGTGACGAAGACCTTTCGACATTGCGTAGATCACAGCACGCGGCAGAGAAGAGAAAGCGCCCGAAAGACTGGACACGCCGAATTGCGTGCGCCTCAGACTGCGCGTTGCTTAGGTTTCCCTCCCTAATCTCAACGTGTTTTCAAATATCTGCGATTCCATTGCCGCAAACAGGCTCTCCCCTGACTTGCTGCATCAATTCTCACAGCCCCCCCTAACCTGCAGAGGAAACCAGAAGCACCGCATGGAATCCGCGGGTGTTTCCATGTTGGAGTTGCGCACAAGGGAACAGAACCTTAAGGCCCACGCAATGCGAAGTGCTTCATCATGCGATTCCATTTCGTAGCTCCAAGCAACAACCGCAGAGCTCAGATTGCCGAGGAAACCAAAAGCACCGCATGGAATCCGCGGGTGTTTCTATGTTGGAGTTGCGCACAAGGGAACAGAACCTTAAGGCCCACGCAATGCGAAGTGCTTCATCATGCGATTCCATTTCGTAGCTCCAAGCAACAACCGCAGAGCTCAGATTGCCGAGGAAACCAAAAGCACCGCATGGAATCCGCGGGTGTTTCTATGTTGGAGTTGCGCACAAGGGAACAGAACCTTAAGGCCCACGCAATGCGAAGTGCTTCATCATGCGAAAGCTCGCCCCACATTCGGGCACCCTGGTCCGTCATGTCGGTCTCCCACATGCTTCCCTCAGAGAGGTGACTCTCCTTGCACAATCTCCATTGATTGACGCATCTGAGACTTGCGCTTGCTTGATTTTGTCAAGGTTATAGATCACATTGGCAAGCCTGCGTACGTCGTCCTGGCGACACCGGCGGCGAATTCTTCCGTTTCTCAAAGTCGGCGGCTGCAGACGGTCATTTGTGGGTAGCTTGCCCATGGCCGACCGGATCGCCAAAGGCTCTGTGAGCTGGTCCTGCCTCGAGACTTGACTCGAAGCCTTGCAAAGTCCTTCTGGGCGCGCGCTTGGCCAAAGAATTCAACTGAGTGCCCCGCTGTTGCAGAAGACCCCAATACCTGAAGACAGCAAACATTGCAGCGTACAGCTCCTGCTGATCGCACATACGGCGATGGATTTGCTTGGCCACGTGCGGCCCAGGCATCAGGCGAAACGCCAGCTTCTGCGCTTCTCGATTTGCCCCTGGCCCGATTGCACGACTCGCACCACATTACATGAGATTCACTGAGCTGTTGCCTCCAAGAGAGAAAACAGGTCTGAACTCGCAAACACGAGTGATTTGGCTCAAGCGCCTCTGAACTTGCCAAGCGCGTAGCCGATCTTGGCGCGCAGAAAGTTCGCACATAGCAGATTCATGAACGGCACATTCTTATCACATTGAACGGCCGTACGTGGCCTTCCACGGCTCGCACTCGTCTTGGGCCAGGATCTGGCGCGATAGGCTGAGCGAGCGCATCGCAAATCACAGCCCGGCATCCCAGGACTGCAGCTTCCACACCGGGCCGTGCTTCGGCTTTCCTGCAAATGCTACATGCTACATGCGCCATACGCCTGATCTACGGGCAATGTCGACTCAAGGCACTTCGGGCCTAAGGGCGTCTTGTTCAGCATGCGGGTGGCCCCGCCGCCCGTGACGCTGTCCAGGCCACCGGCCAGGGACGCCGCGCCCCGCTGGGCGATGTTGCCCTTGGGCACGCTGCCTGGCGGAGCGGGCGGCGAGAAGACAGGCGAGAGATCAGATTGGGTCCCGCGCTCTGGTTCCCCATGGCGCGAGCGCCTGGGTTCCAAGATGTGCCTCAAAGCCTCCAAAGCAGCCGAGAATGCTGTCAAGCTTCAGCTTCACTACCGGCACTGCAAATCCATAACGCTCCCGCAAGCGAGTGACCGTGAATGGTCAATGACAATGTCTGCTTGCAAAGCATTGAGACTGGGAACTGCGGTGATCCTCAGTGCAAGCAGAACAAAGATCGGGGAATGATTTAAAGGTCATGCGTGGCCAATCCACAGAAATCTCCAAAGAGTAGCAACGAAGCTCGTTGGTCAAAAGATGGCTTCTCGTCACATCGAGCTCTTTTGGCTGCGGCATTTGTTTGGAGCAAACAGGTTCAACACCCTGCTGCCCAACAGCCCCGAGCATGCTAGCATGAAACGCTGTCAACCAGCTCTTTCCAGGAGGCTTTGCCATGACGAGTCTTCGCTCACTTGGCTGCTTTGGCCGACTTTTGAGTCTCTGCTACCAAGAGGTTTCTTCCTTGGCAACACCGTTCGCGTCTGATACAGCCACGATCAGCATATGTATATATATATATATATATTGTCTGTCTTCACAACTGCGCATGTCTTTGTAGGCATCGCACTCTTTTGCCGACCCTATATGTCTGCATTTTTTGCGTTTTGGAGAATTGGCGCCAAACTCACAGACATGATGTGAGCAGCGCTGAGAAGCCCCTTCAGCTCTTCCTTGGAAGTCGCATATTTTCAGGATGAAGAGTAGTACCCCACGTGCGCTTTCATGATTCCAGCTTGAAGGTCGCAGCTTCTCAACACAAGCGCTGTGGATGAAGTACAGTTCAGCAGCTCCAGCTCAAAGTAGCAAATGTTCAGCACAAGTGTTCCCCATGATGAGTAATACCACATGACACCAAAAATACATATACATAGTACTATGGTAATACTAAGGGCTACTACTAAGCTACTACGAAGTAGTACTAATCTCCACAAGAGTACCAGTGCTACGAGCACTAGCGTCAATAGCACAAACAATACCAATAAAACCAACGAAGCAAAGGAGCGGAAGCTTATCGTTTGTTCTGGCCTCTTCTCTTGCTTCTTGTCTTCTCCTCTGCTTTAATATGTTTAGGCCGGCGCCTATTCGTTTGCGCGCCTAACAATTTGTCTACTTCTCTAGCCCGCTAACTGCCTGGCCATCTTTCTGCGTGACTACCCAACCAGCTACCTACTAGTTTGAAAATTGCCATCTGCTTGTGCCTGGCTACCTATCAAGCTAGCTACTTACCTATCCTTTTCTATCTCTATCTATCCCTGTCTGCCTGTCTGACCATGATTTATGGTTACTTGTGTAGAAAGCTATCTGTTCCGCAATCTACCGGTTCTAGCCCTCTGCATTGTGATTTTTCAGCCTGGGTTCTACCCTGTCTAGCCGCCTATCTACCTGTCAAGTCGACCTAGCTATCAACGCTATCGGCTTGTCTAGCTAGCCATTTGTCTGGCCACCTTTCCTCCCTCAGTTTGTCACTTGCTACCCGTTTGGAGGTTGTCCGAAATTTATTGTTCCCAGATCGCGTAAAAAGACTTTCGCGGCCTCCATCGCGGATCTTTCGCAGGGCCATTTGCACAAATGTTCACAACATTCATCACGATGGAAGTAGTAGGCGACGCAACACAAAAGTAGTAAACGAAGTAAAACTTCCGCCCCAGCTTGAAAGTCAAAGCTTCTCCACTCCAAAGTAGCACACGAAGTGCACTTCAGCAGCCCCAGCTCGACTGCCGCGCAACCACCCGCGGCGGGAAGGTCCTTCGACTTTCACGCAACTTTCCCGGATCTTTCGCCAAACAATACGGCTGTCCAGTTGTGCTCCACTGGGCCCGACAGCTTCCAAAATTCAACAAGTTGCTTTCTGCTGCGGGTTGCCTTTGCAGCGACGCATGTTGTGCGGCAATCCTCAGCCCGCGCTTTCCTCTGAATAATTTTGTGCATTCTGCGTGCGCTACCGGCACAGACACATGGTTCATTTCATCTTCTTACACAAAACTTTTGTCGGAAAAAACAAATTACAACTTTCGCGACCTCCATCGCAAAGCTTTCGCGGAGAGCAACACTAAGACAAAAAGGTCATCCCCTTCAAACCTGAATACAAGGACCTTTCGGACGACTCCCATTCATGTAGCTACCAATGTGTTTAGCTGGCCGTCTGTCTTCCGTTTGGTCTCTCTCTCTCACTCTATCTTGCTAACTTCTTCTGGCTTGCAATCTGTCAAGCTTTCTATCCAACTAGGTAGCCACCTGTCCAGCTGAGGGCGGTGTTTTGGGCATCAGCGCGCAACACTCAAGCGATTTTACTGGAAGAACCATTTGGACCATTTGCAACTCTTTCGGGATAGAAACACAAGCGGTTGAAAGTTGACCCGCCAAACCTCCGGATTGATAGTTGGCAGCCGTAATGGCTTAGCCTCTGCAGGGGGTATGAATTTCAAACACATCATGTAGGCGTGGATTCAGGTCCGCCAACCACTTGTGAGGTGGTTAGTTACCTTTGAACATTCATCGCCAAATCGTTCCGAACCCGTCATGACCGAGGCGACTTGCGCACTAGTCAAGAGCCAAAGAGCCGAATTCATTCACGAACAGGACTGTGCTTCCCCAAATCTTGCGCTGTGGCTAAATTTGCCTACCACGGAGCTTCTTTCTAAGCAGTACTGGAGCTACTAGTACTACCAAACGCAATGCTAGAGACAATTATATTGGACCTGGAAGTTATCGATCATGATGCATTTGTGTCGACCCTATCGTTCTTGAAGGTTGCGACATTGATCAGAGACACTTGCTCTGTTGTTGCAAAGCCAAGCTGCTCTTCAGCATGTCGACGGTGCTCACCCCAGTGACAAAGCCAGCTGCCACCTCAGACATTGAAATAGACCATGGTAGATCTGTAAGTTACATCCCCTTGCCCACCACGGAGCCACACCATCACCGGCAATGAAACCCAGAAGCCCTGTCAACAAGTGTGAACAGACACAGGCAGAATACTTGGCGCAAGGCCGAATGGGGATCTGGGGCTGCGTTGGTCTGTTGATGCCCTGTGTTGTCCTGGTTCTCATGTTTTCGTTTGTTTATCTACAATTCATGACCCAACTGAACATTTACGATGAACACATATCATCCATTTGTCTGATGACAACAAATACCATATAGATGTAAATAATAAACATATGAATAAGATGATATAAGATGTATGAAATACAAAATCCTATGTTATGCCCGTGACATCCCGTGACCTGGGCCTCCACGCCACACCGGCTGCGGCGCCCAGCACCGCAGACTGGGCCGCCATGGCCGCGAAGGCCCCCGCGGAAGCACTGGCCAGTGCGCCGAAGAGCGCCACCACCTGGGGCCGTGCCCGGAGTAACGGAGTAGAATGGTTAAGACGGTCTGACGGTCTAGGGGTTGATTCCTTTCCTCCTTTCCCATTTTTTTCAAGCATTTTCAAAAACCAGCGGCTTCCCCAGGGTTTTGGGTCTTTTAGAAAGGATGCCCCTAGACCTTTGGAGAAACAAAATGGAGAGGCAAGGGAAACTTACGAAACTGGGAGCAGGAGTCCCATTGGTTCTCGTCATTGGGGTTGGGTGTGTGGGCACGAAACCGGAAAATGGTTGGCTTCCTGCTGGTTTCCCATCAAAGCAAAAAGTTTCTTGAAGTTGACACCCCTATGGTGAAGGGAAGCCAACAGGAACACCGAAACCCATTTTGAGGGTCCCGTAAAACACGACACGAATCAAGATCCAGTGGAGATAGATTGGAATGCGAAACAATTGGAAACCCGACAAACCAAAATCAGAACAACCAAATGCGGAGGAGATAAATCCAAACACAAGGCAAAGGCTTGAGCGGAACAACGGAGTTCTGGCGGAAAGTAGCCGCGTCAAGCAAAGCATCTGCATCCATCGCTCATACAAAAATCTTCAGACACGCGGATACACCTGGAAATCAAAACGAATGCACCTGACAGTCTCATTGAGTTGCCTATCAAACAGCCCGATGCCTGAGGTCCTGAGGTGAGCCAAGTCACCCCAACGGGCTGTCGAGGTAGGACCTGGCTGCCTGTAAAGTCCGGGCTCATGCCACAGGCGATGCCTGCACGTGCAAAGGATCAAACCATGTTTTGACTGAAGCTGATTGGCCTAAGCTGCTCGAAATCATCGGACCTGGCCACAAAGCCAAGTTCGTGCCACAGGGACATGAGAAGCACTTCCGCAGGTGTGATCTGCAGCACCTACCTACAGCTCCCGCTGCCGCACCGATCAATGCTGCATGGCATTCAGCCTGCATGTTGAACAACTTCGACCGATTTTGTGCGCTTGAATCTCCGAGTGGCACGGTGAGATCCGAGACGCGGGCCATCACAGGAGCGTGCAACCACGGAGTTGAACCGTCTTGCCGCGCTCAGGTCGACAAGCGTGGGTGTAAAACTGGTCAGCACCGGTCTGACATGCTAGATCACGAGCAGATACACTCAAGAGACTCAGTGTGGTGCGCTACACACTTGGGATCATATTCAAGCAACAATAGCGTGCAAAGGATGCAGGGGCACCTTGTATTCAGCTTCACAAAGCATGCGCTATTGCTCTTCGTCAAGCTTGAACATCCCGCCGATTGAAGCCACTGCAACGGTCAGTGCAATTTGGGGCGGGGGGCAAGAATGTGCTATTGGCTGTAAGCAAAATCATCCAAGCTTTGAGAAAGGCTGCAACCTGTGTGCTCATGATTCACGCCTGCAACGCACCACATGTGCAAAGAGGTTTGTTCAAAGCAAACCAGCTTGCTGGCTCTTAATCCACGAGGCTTTGCCAGGTGCAACCTGCTTCCTTTGAGCAAGACTGCGCGGGCGCTCAGTAGACCTCGCTTTGCCCAAGCACAGCGATTGGCGGCTCCTCGTGTGCAAAGAAAGAACACCCATCAAGGATATCCCCGTCTCACAGGTCCTTGTCTCTGCGAGGAAGACTGCCCGCACTCTTCTCCAAGCGCAACTTACCTTGCGTTCCGTGCGCAAAGGAGGCAAATCAAATGATTCGATGACTCGGCTTGTCCCAGCCTACGGTTTTGGCCATGGAAAAGCCGCTCAAGTTCTTTCCGGCCTCGGCAACTCGAATTCTGCCGCTGCAAGCTGCTTTAATTCTGAGCTGGAAACAGCCCACGTCTGTTGGATCTGCTTCAAATTGTCAATCACCTCAAGTCAAGAAATCCGAATCATGCTTGATCTCGAATGATCTCACACCTCGGGCATCGCCATTATGGCCACCTGCGAGGGTGCGGCGACCTCACTACTTATCGAATTTCCTGTGCCCTCGCAATTTGCTCCCTCAGTCTGCGGACCGGATTGCTTCCTTCTATCACATGGATGCTGCGTGTCATTCCAAGACCCTTCTGAACTTCTTGGGCAATGCACGTGGTGTGTGTGTGTGTGCGCGTGGCATGGCGCAGCTGTGCAATATGCGCCCCTGCCTCGTTTGATGCTCCTGAGAAGACGTCAAAGCTGAATGCTTAACATTGCTTAACTATCTCATTCTGCGCCTTGGACTGCCAGATTCTCCTTGTTTGAGGTCCTGGCAATGTCGCAGGCACTGCGTCACTGCGTTAAGGTGCACCCGTCGGGCCGCCTCTCTTCCACCTGTGCGCTCACCGAAGCTCTCTCCCTCTCGCCCGAGCTCTCGCCTCCTGGCTCTCAACGGCCACTTCCGCCTCACTTTCGAACTCAACTTGAGACTTGAAAAAACAAAAGAAAGGACTTCTTGAGACTTCAACTTGAGACTTCAACTTGACATCGGATACGCCGCTACGGTACGCCTTGGTCTTCCGGAAGCCAGTCTTCTTGAACCGCCCCTGGAGGCCTCCATGCGAGTCAATGACGTGGACAGTCCAGGTCTAGCCCAAACCGACATTTTTCTGCTAGAGTGGATATTTGCGAACCTCACGCGGGTAGGCCGGAAGTCCAAATGAGTCAGCTGGTGACGTTCGCCCCGGATTCGCCTGAAAAGATGAGCTGCCGCATCGCTGTGGCTCCTCTGCCAGACTCCCAGGCCTGCACAAAAATGAACGCGCAGAAAGCACCCGTTCAAAAAAAATCTCCGGCGCTGGGATTGATCAACACGTTCATGAAGGGCCGCGACAGGATCCCCTGCCAATGCTGCCCTCAATGCTGCCCTCATGTCAGGAGCCTTGTCCCGTGCCTCAATGCAGGCCCACGCATGCTCGAAGCGCACGGCGCCAGCATGATCAGCAAGATGATGCCGTGCGGCGTAGCCTGAAACCCCGAGGTCCAAAATCTCGGCTCGTTGGCTTGCTTCAATCAAGATTTGGTGCTGGTGCGAGATGTGTACATAGTGCTGAGTGCTCAGCCCACTTGTGCCACAGCCTGCACAACTCTGCTCAGTCTCATGTCGAGCCAATTCCCAACAAGCTAAGTTTCGAACCCCCCAGGCGATTGAACAGCCAGCCAGGCCGAGCTTTCTCTCAAAATCCACCAATCCCTCCAGTCCCATGTTGCCACATGAGTGGTTGCTCCTGGCAGGCATGGGCATCACCGAGCAAGTCGGAGCTGCCAAGTGTGTCGGGTGCACTGCCCTGGAGAGCCACAGAAACCTGCGCCCGAGGACATGACAAAGTTCACCTCAGCGCAAATGTGTATTGGCATCACATCCAAAGGTCTCCTCCGACCCCTCTCCCCCTCTCCCCCTCTCTCATCCTTTCAGGCCCATGTTCCGTGCCTGCAGCTTCTGCAAGCCGCACCCTCTGCTGCGGTGCCTGCAAAGTCTCGCTTGCTCCCTTTCCCTCACATCTGACTCTGAGGACCAGGCAAGTAGTAGGCACCGTGAACTTTGGGACCAAAGACCTCGTGTAAGACGCCATGCTCATACACGACTTAATCACGACTACTTGCAACGTGACTTGCCTCCTCATACTTTCGGCGATTCTGCTTCGTGATGGTGCCATCCGAAAGCACGCCAGCCGCATGGACCACCCCCGCCTCTCGGACATCTGAATGCTGTCTGGAACGCTGTCTGGGCTCCCCGGGCTCCCCGGGCTCCCCGGGCTCCCTGGGCTCCCGGCACAGGCTGGCCATTCTGGGGTCTCCTCAAAGAGCTTGGCCACTTGCTGCGGGTCAGCAGCGTTGCCTCAGGCCAGCCCTGTCCCCAGCATGTCCCCACCCTTCATCAGCCAAGTGGCATTTCTCCCTGCGGATGACTGCGTTCGACTTGGCCTGTGAGCCCCGGCTTTGCCACTTGGCTTGGTGGACATGCACCAAGCCCCGCACGATCCGCTCATAGAAGTGTAAGGCCTCCTCGGGAACCTTAGACTCAAGCCATGCCGTGCATCTCATGTGCCAGCTACTTGCCAGCTTGCCTTGTCTCGTCGGGAGACAAAGAACAAATGCCGTGCACCTTGGCTTTGACTTCGTTTGATCTTTGGTGGCATTAGCCTGCTCTCAGTGAAAGTGTCTCAGCTGACCTCGTTCCATGAGGATGATGGCCGCAATGAGGCCCAACCCGCCCACGGCTCCCGTGATCAGGTACGACCTCGGCACTCGGCACTCTGTTAAGGAAGCGACAGCACCAAGTGCAAACTCAGTGGCGCATTTGGATCGGCTCGCGGCATCGGATCCACCCCAAGGTAAGTTGGCTTCGCCTAGGCCGCACTTTGGAATACTTCAGCACCCTCTCGCCCTGTCACCCCTGAGTCCAAGGTCAAGGCCAAACTCCCACATTGGGCAACAAGAATGGCCTGCTGGCTGAAGATTTCGCCCTGGCAAAGCGATCAAGCTTCTTCTGACGCAACTGTCCCTGCTATTGGACCGTGGAATCTTCCAAGGTATATTCTTTATGGTCATGATTTCCGCAAAAGTGCCCTTTGGGGCAGCCTCGTCCGGTGTGTGCCACACGTTCTTGAAGCCGCACTGCGTGAAGAGTGTGCACCACTCTGCCACCCGCAGCAACGGATATGTGACACGCCTTAGGAAAGCTGAATAGACAGGGGCTCAGCTCCTGCGGAACGAGGCCTCTCACAGTCGGTGAGCATCCACCAGCCGTCTGTCAAGCCATAGGTCAAATCCTTCAGGGGAGAGTCACATCAAGTTGGGAACAGTCCAGTTGTGCAAAAAGACACCTAAATCTCAAGTTTAACTCAGTTGTTCCCACCAGCCTCACCATCAAGTTCCCACTGTATTATCCACTCATGCAAGGACACCATATCGCTAGTTCAGTTAGCTAGGCAGCATAAGGAGATGAACCTGTGTGATCATATTGAACAAACTGTTGCCTTATCTAGGTGTCCTTTGGGAGTGCACGGACATGGTGTTGAAATCGCATTATCGCGCCGCTTTCGCACGCAAATCAGCCATACATACACATAAATACATACGAAGGTGCATACAACAAACAACACACCTATATACACATTCAAGCATGATTACATAGTAACATATTGCATCAACATCTAGATACAACCGACTCCGATCTCTAGGAGCCGTCTTTCACGCCGTGCTGTGATTAGCAACAAACCGCTGCTTGATTCGCGTGGCCGGCGCAGCACTTTGGAGCACAGAGTGCTGATTTCGTGGCAGGCGCAGTACTTTGTAGGGTCGCGAGAGGAATTCGTGACAGGCGCAACACTTTGAAGCACGACTCGCAGGAGCGTTGATAGATAACAAGATAGACAGACAGACAGACAGACAGACAGACAGACAGACAGACAGACAGACAGACAGACAGACAGACAGACAGACAGACAGACAGACAGACAGACAGACACACAGACAGACAGGCTGACAGACAGACAGGTAGATAGCAATTCCCAAACACATAGATATAGAGATAGATTAGATAAAGATAGATAGATAAGATAGATAGATAGATAGAAAGATAGAAAGTTAGAACATAGAAAGATAGGAAGATAGAACGATAGATAGATAGATAGATAGATAGATAGATAGATAGATAGATAGATAGATAGAAAGGATAGATAGAACGATGGACAAACAGATAGACAGGTAGATGAGATATAGATGGATAGAACAGACTATAACTAGATTAGGCAAAGCTAGGTTAGATAGCCAGATGAGACTGGAAAGGTAAATAAAGCCGCATGGGCAGGTTGTATTCGGTTAGATTAGGTTAGCTTAAATTCAGTCACACAGCTCGGTTAGATTAGGTTACTGTAGGCAACACTAGGTGGACAAATAGATAGATGAAATTGACAGCCCGAGAGATGAGAGAGAGAGAGAGAAAGGGAGAGAAGTAAGTAGATAGATAGAAAGAAGGCCAGAGAGAAGTAGATGAGATTGATAGATGAAATTGACAGATCGGTAGAGGGATAGAGAAAGAGAGAGATGGCTGTGGCTCAAAAAACCGGTACCAAAATGGCACCTTGGTAAATGGAACCAAAGACAAAAACCCGCGTAACCCCAGCTCTTTAATTCTGAGCCATACCCAGATAGATAGATAGATAGATAGATAGATAGATAGATAGATAGGTAGAAAGATTGAGACAAATATAGAAGGATAGACAGAGATAGATAGATGATTAGATAGATAGATAGATAGATAGATAGATAGATAGATAGATAGATGGATAGATAGATAGATAGATAGATAGATAGATAGAAACAAATTGGATAGATAAATACATTGACAGGAGAGCAAATAGAAAGATGGAGGGACTGAGAGAATAAATCAGCATCGATTAGACTGTATTAGATTAGCTGTGAACAGGTGGATAGATGGGTTGAAGTAGGCTGCTGGATGAAAGATACATAGACAGGTAGATAGATAGAAATAGATGGACAGGTAGGTAGATAGATGGATAGACAAATAGTTTAGATTAGATAGACAAACACATAAGTAGACAGGTAGGTAGATAAGTAGATCGATTTGTGGACGAATGTACAAATGTCTAGATGAGGGTCCCCTGGGCAATCACAGTACACGTTGGTCCCAACGGATCTATGCCCAAGTAAGACTTGCCTTTCGTAGATGTTCGTAGGAGAGGCGGAGGGATCAGTGGACACCGTGATTTCTTTCTGGTGGAACACGCAGCAACGGCCGGTTTTCGGCTTGTTACGCAAAGACTTTTGAGCCAACATGTTGAGATAGTGAGGTCGATAAGCATGCAAAAGCAGAACAGCCCCCGCCCTCGTCGAGCTCCTGAGCTCGTGCCCTTGCATTCCGACACCTAGGACAAGCAAACCCACAACCAACCCTAAACCCACTCTAAACAAACCCTAAGCTATCCCTAAACCAACCTTAAGCCAACCCTGAACCAATCCTCACCCAACCCTAAACCAACCCTAAACTAACACTAAACTAACCCTGAACCAACCTTAAGCCACCCCCACACTCACCCGAACCCACCAAATACCAACCCAAAACCAATCCTAACCAACCTTAAACCAACCCAACCCGCAACTTCTTCTACACCAACTCTAAACCACCTTTTTCATTTGATTCGATGTCCTTTCCACTTGCTGCAAAGGAAATAAGAAGACAGTGGAACAACAAGGACACTTTTTGGACATGGAAGGGAAATGAAAGCTCCTTTAAGCCGCCTTTGCCTGTCCATTCCATTCCTTTCAGCGTACTTTTCTTGCCAGCTAGAAGTGCCCAATGACTGCACAGCCCGAACAAGTGCTCAGTGCTTTCTCAATTGTCCTGGTAAGAGCAATGCCTGGGAGTTGTTTGCTTTCATTCGGTGGCCCAGCCAATGCCTGTCCGTGTCCATTCCATTCCTTGCTATGCCCTTGCAATTTCCTTTTGATCCCTTTCTCACTTCTTTTGATGTTCTCCCTCTTCTTTTCTATTCATGTTCGCTCCTTTTTACTTTGACATTTCTTTCCGTGTCCTTTCCAAGCTAAAGTGCCCAACGCCAAGGTTGGGGCTTTTTTGTACTAGCCCTGCTCTGAAGAGGCTGGCTGGGAACCCTTGCTTCGCTCAGGTTGGGGGCAACAGGCGGTATTCTCTGCGGGCCTAGTTGGCCAGGCTGGGGGTCGGGTTGGTGGGCCGCATCCCCAGCTGCCCGAGCATCATCGGCCTCGCTCGGACTGGGGCTACCTACTGGCTTTGATTTGGTGGCAGTTGCTCCGGGCTGGTTTCGGGTGAGTGTTGGGCTTGCTGAGGTCTTGTATAAAGAGGGCGGGTCTTGGGGGCTTGTTGTAAAGGGCTGATATCCAGGATGCTGTTGGGAGGGTTTATGGTTCACCTTGAGTCGGTTTGTGTTGGCTTGCAGCTGATTTGCGCGAGGTGTGCGGCCCGGCTTTTGCAGTAGCTTTTGGGCTGCTTTAGGGATGTGGTTGCGCAGTTTTGGGCTGGTTTGCGTGCAACGCCCCATAACCAATCTCAAAGCAGCCCAAGAATTGCACAACTACATCCCTGAAGCAGCCCAAAGGCTACTGCAAAAACCGGCCGCACACCTCGCGCAAATCAGCCCCAAGCCAACCCAAACCGACTCAATGTCAACCTTAAACCCTCCTAGCATCCTGGCCCAAGATACGCCCTCTTTATACAAGACCTCAGCAAGCCCAACACTCACCCGAAACCAGCCCGCAGCAACTGCTATCATTCAATAGGCAGCAGCGAGGCCGGTGATGCTCGGGCAGCTGGGGATGCGGCCGCCCAGCCAGCCAACCAACCAACTAACCAACCAACCCAGTCCCCTGGCCGGGGCTAAGCCCTGAGCCGGGGCTAGTAAACAAACACACACCGGTTTCCAATTCCAAAAACAATCCCGCGTGGAATTTAATTGCGCGTGCTTCCATTATTCTCCATTTCCTTTCCTTTTCATTTCCTCTTCAAGTCTTTTCACTTCCTTTGCATTTCTTTCCAGTTCCTCCACTATGTACTATGGGCAGGAAGTAGACAGGAACGAAAAAATCATGAAACAAACATACCAATGACATAAAGCCAGAAACGACGGGAATGGAAAGGACATGGAAAGCCAATGAATATGGGAATGAACATGGACAAAAGATGGGAATTCAAAAGATCGACGGTCCAACATTTATATTTTGGTAGAAGTCAATTCGAAACAATATACAAGCTCTGCAAGTCAGGGTTCGAAACTTAGATTGCTTGAATTTGTAGAATTCTGGCTGGTGGGTCTGGGCTGGGACCCATTTAGAATTTTGAAACGTATATTCTGTAGTTTCTAAAAAACACACGTCTAGAATTCAGACCTCTGGTTTTGGTTGGTCCTGCCAGTAGTCGTATGCTTGTCTCGAAGACTTAGCCCAGAACTCACAAAATACTATATAATATCAACATATGACCCCGATGTTTCTAGATTTCAACTCTAACACTTTCAAAGTTATAAAAACCAAGGGGCCCAGCCCAGACCCATCAGTTAGAATTCAATGATGAGTCAAGTCGAACACTTCTAAAAGACCTGGTCTGACACGTCCATTTCAGGGAGGAAAGGGCCCGGTCACATGATACATACTATTCCCTCTTACAGCAGGGCAGGGGGAATGGCTGATGCTTCTCAACCATGACATACCATGGGGGGGTTGCTGACCTAAACGGGAGTGCATTATGGTGCATTGTATTGCATTGTTGCATGTCACTTGGAGTCCTCTGGTAGGGTACCAGGATTTTGCACCTCGTTGAACACGATGTGACCGCCCGGCTGCAGCAGCACGTGGATGGTGGCCATGGTCGAGGCCAGGTGCATCGTGGCGTGGATGACGTTGGTGGCCAAGATCGCCGTCATCTCGTGGCTGTTGAAGCCCTAGGAACACAACATGTAAAATCGGCATGCAAGCCCCTTACAAACATCTACGGCCTGACAGGCCTAACAAGGAAATATAATAAACTCACACACGCCTTTGGTAAAACACACACACAACTTGAACAAGCAAGACTTTCGGATTCATCGGAATTCTGCCTAACTTACTAGCAAAGCAAAGGACACGCCACGCCTGGTCTCCTGGGTGCTTATCGCCGTTGAAAATGGCATATTCGATGAAGGGGAACCTGGCACCAAGGTTGCCCACTGAAGTAGCATGCTGGTCGAAGTGCAAGGCTCGCAAAGTGCCCTGATAAGGCTGGCACCGACTGAATCTATTCCGGGCATTCGTTAGGAACGCCTGAGAGAGATCTGTGAATACGTACCTGGCTAACCCACATTGAGGCAGCATGAATGCCACACAACTTGCTGGCCTGGTGTTGTTGGCATCCAGCGTTGGCAGAACGAAGGACGAGGTACCACCGGTGCCCGCACCTTGTCTCGGCCTGCCTTGAAGGCCTCAACATGCCTCAACTCTCTCTCTCTCTCTCGAAGACCTATCTCGAAGACGTACTGGCCCTTCTCAGCCGATATCATCGGATTCTTCGTCTTCTGCAACACTCTGAAGACCTGACCATTGGAGCCGTGAGACCCATCGTTTCCAGGGAATAACCAGCACGCCTCGACGCACACCTCATTGCAAAGTTTTGCCTGGACGAGACATCGCGAAACACGCTGATCACGGCTTTGCCTGCTGAGTGTATAGAGTGGGGCCCGGTGCATGTCAATATACAATATACGATTCAATGAGCTACATGCTGAGACCTGCCGCACCAGTCCAAACATTGCAAGCCAGCATGTGTCAAGCAATTGCCACGAAGCGGAATGTCAAAGCTCTCTACCCGGCCGAGGCTGAAGGCCCAGAGTCATTGGGTCTCATGCGGAGCCATGCGGAGCCACGCCTGTGGGTCCTCCTCGTAGCCCTCTGTTGCGGCTCCAAAGCTGAGGCCGCCATCCGCCATGACATCAAGCGCCCATGAAACGCTTGGGCAAGCGCACACCCGTAAACTCCCTAAACTTGGGCTTCACTGCCGGCTCTCAGCGCTGGGAACAGTTCAAATGCCAAGAGTTACGCAGCTGTTCCTTGAGGCTCAGCAGAAATTGAAAGCTTGTACAGCATGAGACGCAGAGTCACAGATGAGATGCATGTGCACAGAGTCCATCCACACGCTTTGAGATAAATCTTGACCTAAGCCTAAGCCCTAAGTTCAGGTGCTTCAAGGGCTCTGCACACGGAAATTCGTATAGCTTGGCGCTTGGCTCCGAAGCTCATGTCAGCTGAAGGCAGAGCTTCACACTTCTCATGCAGAGCCTCATCGAAGCTGTCAGAGTTCGAGAGCAAAGAAGGCTCAATTGAATCAGTTTTTCCGAGGTCCTTGAGCCTGCAATTCGATCACAAAGCCAAAGAGAGGCATAAGAACTAGTGCTCGAGGCTCGGAAATAGCCTGTTGAGCTTAGAGTGTATCTTTGAGTGCATGGTGCTTCTCGCGGTGAGGTATTACCGTATCATGCGATTCTAGCGGGCTTGCGCTCGAAACCACCTAAGGTCGCAGGCTGGAGTCCCGCCCTGGGCGATGTCTCTTCATGGGCTTGGCGGTTTAGAAAAAAAGTCATGTTTTCCAAACAGCGGAGTTCTGATTCAACTGGGTCTGCTGTTCTTTGGAGATAGCTGCCTAAGCTTTTTCGATTCAGCAGGACAACATGGTTTGGGAACAGAGTTCGGTTCCAATTCAACTGGGCAGTCTTTGCTGGGTGGCTGGCTCAGGTTGCTGTCATGTGTCTGAGGTCGGCGCATGGTTCTGGAGTTATTGTCTGCAGGCATTTAAATTTTCTCTGATTGGGGCTGCCGTTGTGTGCGTCTGGGGGCTGCGCTGCTCTATAGGTGCTTCATGGGCCTTGCGGTTTAGCATGAAGAAAGGCAGTTGTTTGTCAAAATGGCAGAGTTCTCACTTAGCTGGGGCGATTTTCATTTTATGATTCCGGCTACTGTTATGTGGCAGTTGATCAATATTCCTGTTTCCGGAAAACGCCATCTTCGCGAGAAAAAAACATCTTTCGCGAATCTTTCGCGACTCCATCGCCAAGCCCTTTTGTTTGCCCTGCCAAGCCCACATTGTGTCTGGGGATTGTCACTGGGTGTTGGGTTTCGGGGCGGCAGTTGCGATGCAGCACGGAAAATGTTGCTTTCTCAGAACAGCCCAGTGTTCAATGTTCATTCCTGTGCCCAAGCCGCGAAGACGTTTAATTTTGTGAAGAGAGTCGAATACCAAATGTTCATCCAACGCCATCACCACAGCAATAGAAATTGACTGCAGCCTGCTTACTGGGGTAGCACCGCTCAAGGGAGCGAATGGGTTGGAGGACTGCTCGCAAGGAGCTTCCCCCGTCCAGCTCTTTGCCTCTCGAGATTGTCCACAGGATCTTGCGCGTATCCAAGTCCAAGCAATCCGTGCGACATGTCCCCTGCCATGCCGAGCGTGAGGTGTATGGGAAACCCGGTCGTGCCATTCTCGTGAGGTGTGAGGCGACTCGCATGAGCTTGGCAAAGTGCGAGGGGAAGATGAGATGCTGAACCACTGGGACTATGAGCTCTGGCGGGTGCTCTCAGTGATCGCAAGTTTGAACTCTTCCGCAGCTTTTGTTCTGGCCCTTGCCCGGGCTGAGCTAACACGTGATCGGATCGGCAGAATGTGCTGTTTTCCTCAATTACCCAAACAAAAACAAAAAGTCAGGTCTCTCTACTGACAGATTCCGCGCCCTTGCCCCCTTCCATGTCATCACTACACATTGCTAAAAGCAACAAGGTCTACAAACGTGCGTTTCACTGTTTCACCTTCAAGTTGTACACGTTGCCCTTGTTGATTGAGAAGAGACACGACATCTCCCGCATCATTCCAGATCTATACAACGTGTACAATGGATAATGTCCAAAGTCCTACAATCCTCAAGAAGGCCCCCTGCTTCTTTCACGAGTTCTGCGATTGCTGTTGAGCTCTTGTTGGTTTGATCTTGCTGTGTGGCTGGTGCACTGCCTCAAGGGGCATCTTCTGAGGAGGCGCTTGCAAGAAGTTTAGCAACACTGACGCTATCAAATGTCAGGTGCCAGTCACAATCGGCGACGCAGACTAAGAGGCGAGCCCAGATGCTTGCTTGTCTTCGCTGGCCAGCATCATCGAAGTGTCGCCTTCCTGCGGAGCAGCCACGAATGAGAGTGGCTTATGATAAATGACATTCAAGCTTTGGTTATCAGCAAACATCTAGAATTGTGTGCAAGTCCTTGTTGGGCTTCCTGGCCAGCAGAGGCGCCAGCATGCTTCGCACCTAAGTCCAGTCCAATTGGAGTAGCCTAGACCCAAACGGCCCAACGAGGCAAGCCACTGTGAGGGATGTCGGGGAGAGGTACGCCCCCGGCAGCACTGCCTGGCAAACCCAAAATGACTTCAAGAAGTGAGTGGTTGCCGGCCTGCACCGGCTCCACTGGCTTCAAGCCGGCCACCACCAGTTTCACCACTTGCCTGAAAACAAATTGCGCGCATCCGATCCCGACGTACCTTTCCCGATTCAAACATCCGTGCCTGACCACTGGCAAGCTGATGCTGCTGCCGGGCTTCTCGAGGCCTGCAGTTTGTTCACTTGCCTGGATCCAATGCCCCAACCCTCAGGAAGGGCAGGCCTGTGGTCAAGCCATTCCAGATCGCGCCACCATGTTGTTCTGGCTCCTCTCATGGCAGTTCTCCCACGGCCCCCAACCACCATCACCGGGACTCCTCAGACCAGGCATCTACCGCTGGCCTCGCAACGTTAGCTGCGAAGCAACTTCAGCGCACATACTTCAGCAACATCAGCGTCTCTCTCCACTAGAGATCTCTATTCGCTGGGCTCTGCTGGGCTGTGCCGGGCTATGCTGGGCTATGCTGGGCCGGCTGGCCACTGCACGCTGATCGCGGGCAAGTCGAGCGCGGCCCGCAGGCGCGCCAGCTCGTCCAAGAAGGCGCTTGCCGCTGCGTAGTTGGCCTGGCCCTCGCTGCCCACAAGCGCCGCCAGGGAGGAGCAAAGCACAAAGGAGTGGAGCTTGTCCTGCATCGTGTGACCTCAGCTCTGGTTCTGTTTTTGTTGGTTTATATTGGTTTCATGGTGGTTTCCTTCATGTTTCTTCAAACCACCCTGCCAAAGTCTGCTCAAATCTGCTTGATCTGCCTGATCTGCCTTTCCAATCTGACGGCAGGGCGATGCAAGTACCAGGCTCCCAAAGCCTTGGGCTCAAAGACCTCACACGGCTCAGACTTGACTTGGGACACCTTCAAGGTGAGCCTTGCGGAATCCCAAAGGATCTTGGCCCACGAAAGGCGCGTCCTGCCATCTCTGAACTATCCACGGCACCGCGCGAGGCAAAGTCGCCTCCAGGACACCGCTGGCGTGCACCACGACCCGGAGTGGGCCGTGCACCTGAATGCCTGGATGCAGCAAAGCACCAGCCTACAACCGAAATCCCATCTCAGATTTCGACGCTCCAGAAGCTCGCGGACACTGGACCTCAGAAGGCATCCAAGTCAAAGAGGTAGAGATCAAGGAGGTCAAGGAGGGAAGTCTGAGCTGGCAGCTCGACGGCCACATCGCAGGCCTCCACGATAACCTCGCAGCCTGAAGCCCTCATTGCCTGCGTCACCGGGTCTCTTGACTCACATTGACTCACATTGACTCACATTGACTCACATTGACTTTCCGGGTGTGGCATCGGACTCTCGCACACTCTCGCCCTCTGATCTCCTCCAGGCGCTTGCCATCATCCAGCAGCTGCCCATAGCGAGAGGTCACCACCATACGCCGCATGCCCAACTCGACCTATCTCCAAAGGCAATTACAAGACTCAATTCAATCCTGCACATCTCTGCTCTGTGCACGAGTCAATTGACTCCAATCCTCACTTGTCAATTACCGCTCCTGGCCCGACTGCACCTCACTTGGGCACTGGCCAATGCCTCTGCTGCCGCCAGGCCAATTCCACCGACGCCGCCTACAAGCTTAGGATCTGAATCCATACTGCGCAATTTGATCGCAGCCTGTCACCAAAGCGACGCCGGTCTCCGTCACATGCGGGGGCAGCGGGCCGACGACCTGAGCTTCACGGCTTTGAGGCCCTTTTGAGGCCTGGCAGGGCCCCAGGGCTGCGGCTCTGCCAGCGTAGACGGGCATGTGGGGGCTCAGGTCCAGCCTGAAAGAACTCAAAAACCGTTTGGAGACCATGGGCCCATGGCCTTGGCAGCCAGCGTCGGCCCTGCCGATACACCACCTCCTGCATGAATGCAGCACTCTCTCTGTCCAGCTCTCTGGAATGAATCAGAGCAGTCCCGATTGTGTGCCATAAGGCCCTGAGCTCGCTCCAAGGAGCTCGCATTCTGCAGGCCTCAGCATGATCCAAAAGCGCCAAACCTCCGCCAGTGGGGCCGAGCACTGAAAAAGCAGTGAGGCGCATGGCGAGTATTCAGTCCGAGGCCTCCTGGAGGTAGCGCAAGGTTCACCTCGTACATCAACTGCTCCTGCCGTTGCTGGCATCACAAATAGCCCAGTGACCTCAGTGGCTCCTGAATGCTCCCATCCAGCGCGTCGGTGTCCAGCCACAGGATTGGCACCTGCTGAGCAAAAAAAAACACGAAAAATCAAAAGACACATCAAACGTCACGGCACGCGTGGCAAGCGCCGTCACGCGCCGTCTCGCCGCGGTCCCTGTGCGGGCCTGTGGCACTTCAGCCCGGGCCGTCCGCACCAGGCCCAGCGCTGCAGACGCGGGGCTCACTGCCTCTCGACCTGTGCAAGTGCGTCAAGTGCGTAGTCCAGAACGGACACATCGGACACGACATGTTTGGCACGGACGAGAATGACGAGACTCCATGCCAACCATTCAAATAATGATAATGCTGCGAATTCTGGCTATGAGTCGAAACGACCACGCTGAGTCGGGGTATGCCGGTGTTCATCACATTCCTTTGAATCTCCGCATCCGAGGCGGCCGCCGCGCAAACTGCCAGGCCCAACGCTGAGGTGGCTCAAAAGCACCACTCGGAGGGCGCCTGGGGAGGAATCGTCAAAAGCTCGGTCGGCTATTGTCGGCTATGCTCAGCTTCCCGCTTTGGCCCATCTCGGAAACAAGCACCTCTGTGCACTGTGAAAAAACACAACCATTCCCGTTCTCACGCAACACATGAGGCACATTCCATGGACAATGTTCATTTAACCTGGCCTGAAGGGCAGCCAGCAAATCCACGCACAGCTGCTCCGGCTTGGAGCCAAGCCAGCCTTATGCATTATCCGGAGTTGATTAGCTCGCGCAACTTCGCCTTTTGCCAGGGACTGGGGAGGCTGTATGGGGCTCTGTCCTTCCAAGTAAACGACCAAGACGTCGTACCTCTCCAAGCGGCATATGCTATGGCCAAAACTTCCCTCAAGAGGAACCTCCACACAGTTGTCCAAAAGTCTCTATTTGCAACGTTTGATGATGCCAACCCCCCGCAATCTCCTCAGAATGGCGCACGCAGTGACTTTTGCAGGGCTGGCAGCGTTGCTAAAGGCGCCGGAGGCCAGCCTTGAAACTTTGAACGCGCGTTAGCGTCGCTCCGCCGCTCTGCGCTCTGCCTGTGGACGTAGCTGGGCTGAACCATCAGCTTTCCCTGGAGCTTCAGGCCATCCTGGGCCAGCGGGGCCAGCGGGGAATGCCGGGCACTTGGCACTAGGCCCCTTGCCTCGCAGCCGAGCGCCAGAAGTGCAGCCAGAACCTGGCAGACGTGAACCGAGAATCCAACTCTCAAAATCAATGACGCTGAAATGAAAAAGATGAAATGAGATCTGCAGTCTTTTTGCTTGGTAGTCTATGGTCCACTCGGTGGGTATATGATATCGCAAGTTCTGACTGCATAAATACCTCCGCCTCCGGAACAGGAGACGATGCCCCAGGCAGTTCCTTGCGGCAACCGCGCTCACTTTGAGCTTGCTGTGAGCTCGCGGTGTCGGTCCAGCAGCGCCCATCGCAGGGGCGGCGCCTGCCTCAGAGCCAACAGAAGTCAGAGCCAGGGAAAGCCCTTGGCTTCGCCCAAACTATCCATATGTCACATTGTGACATAATCTTTATCCCACAAAGATTTGCATCGACCACATAGCACCGTCGAGCACCGAACACGGGCTTGGCGGGCTCCAGTGCCAGCTTGCGTTGAGGGGAAGGCTCTCTCTCCTCGGACCATGCCGTTCCGAAGCGTTTCTGAGATGAGCCACTGAGCTCCATGCATACAGTTTTGGTATAGCTGGAAAGAGGCCTGTCTTTGAGTCCTGCGGCTGTGGCTGTGTGGCCCTCGCAAATGAACAGCCTGCATCCTGTGGCTTCTGATACACAGCCGATGCTTCATCTGGACTCAAATGGGATGCCATGCAAGATGTCTCACTCTCTCCCTCTCTTTGTTGTCAGCAATGTACATTTTGCCCAATTGAGCCACGCAAGCAATAGCTGTGTTGAATCAGAGACGCCCAAACCGTTTTACGTTTTGGCCCTCCAGCAATAGATGGCCAACAGGCAATTCCAATATTTCTCTCTCCCTCTCTGTCGTTGATCCCTCTTGACCGCAAATTGATATCCAGGCCAAAAAGCTGTTCCACACGGCTGTTTCTGGATGCATTCTTGGGCATGCGATAAAACGTCATGTTTCCGTCTTTGCTCCTCCACATAGCCCGGCTTCATCACCTTGGAACCTCAAAGGCTTGGCGCCCAGCAACCGGCAAACCGGCAAACCGGCAACGGGTGGAACCACGTGGAACCCCGCCTGTGTACACTGGTGGCAGCAAGGGCTCCACTCGCCACATCACCTGGACGGATGCCTAATGCCCTCGCTTGGAAACTTGGGAACATCGGACTGCAAGACTTGCGGCCAAAGCTGCGTCACAAAGTGCCGGCAGGGAAAAGCCCAGGACCGTCTCCAGAGCCAAGTCCTAGCGAGGTCGTGGCAGTGATTCAGTGATCACGTCACTCGATGGTGAGTTGACACATCCTCCCAAGTGGCACCAGTGTGGCCTCGAGAACCTCGGAGGGCTCGAGCTCGGCGACACTTGCGCTCGCCCGGGGGCCAGGCATGTGCCGCCCTTGCGCAGCCTGTCGCCCAAAAAAAGGAGCTCAAATCACGCTGTCGGAGCTCTTCGGCGCTCTAATTTACAATGGGCCAGCATGTATCTTGGCAAAAAAATCAGGAAACCGCCGCATCTTCAACTGTTGCCTCTTCAAAGGACTGTCTGGCTCGTGCGTGAGAGGCTGACCTGCCACAAGTCTGCTTGGCGAATGGTTTGCGAGTCGTTGAGCCCTTCCTTGTGATCGGAATTGAGGCAGTGTGGCTATGTCCTCTGGATATGAGTCACTGACCAAAGCTCGACCAAAGGAACAGTATGCCTTATTTCAGTTGATTACAGGCTCCTTGCTCGTCAATTCAGCCCCATCTTCCGCGCCATCGTCCCAATCTAGCGAGTAGATGGAATCCTTGCGGTTGGGCTGCGCATGAGCCGTGGTCACGATTTTGGCAAGTAAGCCCCAGTTCCGAGTGGTGGTTTAGGTGGGGCCAGGTCGTGGTCGTCACTGTAAATGACAGTTGATTGACAGCTGCTCGCATGAGCTTTGCCGATCACTTTGTTGACAGCTGCACAGCTCTGTTGCCGGCCAATGTCACCGATGCGCTTGCCTTGATGCCCTCTGACATTGCGCCGGACCCCTGACATTTGGGTCCCTGACAGTCCCTGAAGCTAAGCACTGCCTTCGGTCCAGCCTCTGGATCCCTGGAGTCGCCAGTGCGCGCAATTGCGTCCGATGCCTGCTGCAAGCCGAGTTATCCGAGTTCGGACAGCAGGCAGCTCAAGCACCTCGGCGTCGTCCACACCTGAGTGGGCTATGGCTAGGGATGAGCGAACACATCAAGGCATCAAGGCGAACACGGTTCCCCCAAACCCGAAAACTTACGACCAAAATGGGGCCCGACGCTGGAAGCTTCAGGGCATCACATGTTGGGAGCTGAGCTGCTGAGCTGCCGAGCTGCTATGCAAATGTGCAAAAAGGTGAAAGACGTGTGGCAGAAATCGGGAGCTACACAACTTGCACGTGAGCCCTCCCAGGACCAGCGTGTTACTTGAGGATCGGTTAATCTCGTCAACGCCCGAAAAGCAACCACATGCCACAAAATTCGCAGCTCTCTAAACAATTCTGAACCAATATTAAACGGCGGGAGTTCTCGTCCAGGCCAGCCCCAGCCTGATTGCGGGGTAATTAGTCCAGGACTTGCACCAGCCCCATGCCAAATTCTAAATGCATACTTGCCTTTCACTAGTTTAAGTTTGGTTCATTAGGTGCACTCAACGTGAAGTTCCAAATTTAAGTTGCACCTTGTAATTACTTTTGAACTGCAAACAAAACCCTCCAACCCGGTTTATTCAAATCCGTTACTCGGAAACGGCAATTTCGATGGTTCTCGTGTCTGGGCAAGGGGGAGCAACTTTGGACGATGAACAAATCTCGATTGCCGTCCGAGCCAATACTTATTACCATTTTGCCAGCATACAGCAGCATACACATGAATACCGAATTCGAGAACTCGACACAAAGCCAGGGCCCCGGCCTTGCAGCGCCCTGTGCGCTTCCTGAGAGTCCTGGGAGTCCGCATGTGCGGCGGCGCTGGGCACTGGCGCGCAGTCCTCCAAGTCTGACTGCAGCGCCTGCTGGATCACTGTGATCGCCTAACACTCCGAGATAGTTCCGCTCAGTTTCGACAATGTCTTGGGTCTCTGGATCTGCCTCGGAAACCAGCTGCTTCTCAGCTGCCACAAGGAGCAGCCCGCGGACCTGGCCGCTTCTCGCGCAAACATCGATGCATCAAGGCAGGCGCACCCGCCGCGGAAGTAAGCCTTCTGCCTCGGATCGGCGCTCAAGGCGCTCACCCGGCGAGCCGACTCCGAGCTCTGCACAGGCGACAGCTGGCGGGCGTCCACCAGGGCATGGGCAGGATAGTCCTGCGGACACGAAGCCAACGCGCGCTTGACTTTCAGCTCTGGGCGCAACTTCGCGGTGGCAATGGGGGCCCTCCCGGTCACATGACCCGGGCCTCCAGGGCCCATTGCAGCCGCCTGGCGCAAAACACATCCGTGCTGAAGCATCAGACTTTGCTCTGCCTTCCCAGCTGTTGTAGTGCTCGCCGCTGGCAAGCCTTTCAACTTCCAAGCACAAGTGAACTCACCCCAACGGCATTTGTGGCCTTGGGTCCCAGTGGGTCTAGGACTCCCTTCTCCTCCCTCATGATAGTCTGCATCCTGTTCAGCCAGGTTCAGCCGACGGTGTGATAGAGAACACAAAGTCACAGGGTCTCCTCTCCGTGTCCGCACAAATCAGCAGTCCCAGCTGCTGCAGCGCTTCTGGCGTTGGCAGCGACCGGCCAAGCGGCAGTCGCACTTGCACCTCACGTCTCAAACTCATCTCTCCGGAAGTTCATCGACTCAGCGGCCTCCAACTCGGCATCTTCCTTCTGGATCACCTGCCAGCTCCAGAAACGATCGCAGCATATCGCAGCACTGGCGTACTGGCACTTGCCTCCACTCGCCGCCAGCCAAAGTCCGGGGGCACCGCCTCCCGCAACCTCGAAAAGCTCTCGACTCGAAGCTCGAAGCCTCGAAGCCTCGAAGCCTCGAAGCCTCGAAGCCTCGAAGGCCGAGCTTCCGGCAGCAGCCCGCCATGCCAAGGCCGGCTGGCCTCACCAGAAAACCCGGCCCGCACACCCGACCGGGTCACCGGGTTAGGCCTGCAAAGCCGCCTCCAGCGCTTCGATGATGCTCCAAAGCTTGGAGCTCTCCGAAGACTAGCAAAGCTTTGCTCAACGCTAGTGCCACACTCAAAGTCGGCAATGTGAAGCTCTAACGGATTCAGGTGATGGCCTGTGCGCTCACTGGTAGCCGTAGCAACACCTCCGCTCTGCAACTGACAGCACGCGAGCACGAGACCGCGGCGCACTTCGACGCTTTCCCAAGGTCCGGTTGTGGCCACCGGCGCACCTGGCTCTGGCACCCGCACCACTCACACCGCTCTCTGCCTCAGAGAGCCCCCGCCTTTCTCCGGGACCTGCGAAAGCGCCACACTCGGTCTTCGGAATTTGCACGAATTTGCACATGCCTTGAAGTCGCCCAGGCCCATGAGCAGCTGAAAACCCTGGCCACGCTGGCCACGGATGTCTATCACACAAATGCTCCCTGGTGAGCCTGTGAGCAAGCCAGGCCGTGATGCCAAAGTCTCACACCTTCACCAGCCTCAGATCCAAACATGTCCAAGGTCAGGCGCTCAAAGCCGAGCCTTGAAATCTCGGTCTGCATACAGCACCACTGCTGGGCTGCCCTGACAAAGCACTGGATTCAAAACCTTGAATGCTTTGCAAGTCGCCTGGAAGGAAGGCTCCAGGCGCAGAACAGTGCCAGCCTGTCCCAAGATATGATATAGCATGTATCGTATGTATCGTATGTATCGTATGTATTGTATGTATTGTATGCAGTTTGCGCTCGTCAGAATTTCATCTCCTCCTGGCTGGAGCCCAGGAGCTCCAGGCCAGGTGCCAGCAGCTGGTCTCCTACCCGCCGAAAGAGAGGGAAAACAGAGGAAACACAAAGGAAAGGAAGCAAAGGAAGCAAAGGAAGCCGAGGAAGTGAAGGAAGTGAAGGAAGTGAAGGAAGCAGCGTGTTTCAAGTTTCCTGAAACGAAGTGGAGGCCCAGCTCTTGCAAGATGCACTGGGCCCAGGCGAAGGCCTCCGTGTGACATGTGGAGCAACCGCAGCAGCGAGTTGCCGTGGCACCTCCAAAGATGCCCGGGGCACTTCGTCGAGGCTGCGCATATCCTGACAGCTCGTGGCTTCGCGTGAACATCGGGCCGTGCACGCCGCCGTGCACTCCGTACACGCTCTATCCTCTTCTTTGACAAGCCCCAGCTTGCAGGACACCTGTGAGACGCTGACCCGACTGATCCACGCACAATCTGAGAATCTGCCATGCGAGGCCTCTGGCCCGAGATCGGCTAGCAAGCTCTCGAGGTCTGCCACAACATCTTCCTATGCACAACTTGACAGTGCCAAGTCTGTCAAGTTAGATGTCAAGTCGGGGTGCCTGTCGTCGATGCGCTTCCTGCGCAGGAGGCGAGGACGCAATGATGATGCCTGCTTGGCAGTGCCTCCAACCAGAAGCTCCCTGTCAAAGACTCCAGATCGCGGCGGCCCCACGCAAGCAAAGTCTCCTGACATGGCACATTGTTTGCCGTGCTGAAATTGGTGCAAATTTGAAGGCAGGGCACCGCTTTGCGGCCCTCCAGGAGCTGCAAGTGCTGTTTCCGATGCTCCTACAGCCAGTGGTTGCCTCTTCCCGCTCAATGCACAAGACTTCAGGAATGCAGCGTTTGCGCAACTGGGGGCATCTCTCGATGACACATGATCCGTTGCACCATGTTCAGGTGTGGGGCCGGCCTTCATGGGCTCCGAGTTGCTCAGCCTCCTGGCCGAGAACATGGCCCTTTTGGCCGTGGACGGCCATGGCTGGCCTTCTTTCCCAGATCAAGTGCAGCGCAATCTTGGTCGAGGCAGCTTGCAGCAGCTCAGAGTCCGGATTGCGCAACGCCGCTTTAGCCAGGGCCTACGCAAGGCAGGCGACACACGCGACGTACAAAGCATTGACCTTCTCGACGGCTGGCCTGCGACACCTGCGGGCACTCTGTATCCACAGCGGCCGCTGTCCAGCAGCGCTGCAGCGGCAGCACCAGCCTCGCCCAACGCATCGAACACGTGTTGGTTCTGCCGGCTGATGCCGGATGCCAAGTCGCAAAGGAGTCCCTTCGGGCGCATCTTCAGCCGCGCAGGCGCCTGTGCCATTCACCTGGCAAGCAACACATTGAGGAAAGCAACAACTTCGCGGTGCCAACAGTCAACAGCGTTGCCTTTCCTGCCTCTTTTGAATGGACTCACCCAGGCTTCAGGAGAGAAAGCCAGGATCCACATTGCAGGGAAGCTGAATGCTCAGAGCTCAACATGCATCCTGAAATCGATGAGTTGGCACAATGGCCGGGGCCATGTTGAGTGTCAAGACGTGCAAAACACTGAACAACGTGGAGGGCAATGATCGTTGAACCTCTCCCAAAAGCTGGCAGGATGCAACAGTTCGCGCCTTTTCCATTTTCTACCAGGGAAACAAAGGCAATTTCAGAGGCGTTGGCAATACTGCAAAGACATCAACTCTCCGCCAAAATGAAGTACTGGAGAGAGGTGAATGAAAGTGAGCCGTGCTCGTGAGGATGCGAGAGGTGAAATTCTGCAAAATGATGCAAACTTTGAGCCTCGCTCCCAAAACTGGATCCCAAAGGAAACACGCGCACTGACTCGCAAAGGGATGAACAGAAGCCTTCAGGCTGGGATCGCCCTTGAGACCTCGGTTCCTTGGCATGAGCGCCCCCTGAAGTCAGTTGAAGCCAATTTCACCGGATACAAGACTTGCTCTCAACGGGCAAACCCAGCGCCTTAAGTTTGCTGGCGCTGTAGCCCAAGGCAGCAAACCGGTCCGACATGGTCAGCCAATCAACTGGTCAGTCTTGCGATGTACCTACATTGGTAGCTGCATCAGCGCTCCCTGCTGCGGCAACTCCTGTTCATCCTGGCTTTGCTGTCAAAGCTTATCATGTTTCCTGCTTTCTGACGCCGGAACGTGTCTCCGTGTGTCGGAGGTAAATTGCGTGATCGCCATGTTATTCCCGTTGCAACAAATGATTGTTGACCGTTGCGCTCTGGCATCTGCAGCCATGGCTGACAAACAGCGACGTGTGAGCCATTGGCCGTGCAGCAAACATGGAAGGCTTGCACAAGCCCTCACTGACAAACCGCTGGCCTCATGTAGGAATGTAACAATCTGCCGGTTGGTTTGAGTTTGAGCACATCCACTGACCTCAATGCGTGGCCCAAACTTTGGCAATGGCAAGTAACTCGTCCGTTCAACAGCGGACTCATTCTGCTTCGTAAATTGATTCGCTTCGACAAACGAAGGCTTGTTGCGCTGCAAGTGCTTTGCTTTCACGACAATCGCGGTATGTTTGCAGTTGGTAAATCTGCCTGTTCCAGACGGCCCTCCACTCGAAAGGCTGGCTTATAGCCTCATTCAATTTGAGGCCTTCCAGGCACACCCCAATGGTTGAAAGTAGCCTGCGAAGGACACCAAGAGGACTGATGGCAAGACATTGCTCCCAACTGCCACATGTCCAGATTTGCTTCCCTCGCGCGGTGCGCTGTGGTGCGGCTGGCTCTTTGGCTCGCCATCTGATTTGGCTCGTCACAGCGTCGTGGTGTCTGTCGCCTTGCCATTGCCATCACCGCGTCCGGTGCACTTGGGCCTGGCAGAGGTGGATTTGTCCTGGAAAGCGGATGTGAAGTCACTCCCGTACTCACGAGCAACGGACTCCTCTTCCCACATCGCCGGAGTCTTTGCAGTGATGCGCAAGGAGTGGAACTTCAATGATCCATCCTCCGAACTCGCATTGCCCGTGCCACTCCGTGCCACTCCGTGCCACTCCGTGCGGGTGACATCCCCTGACATCCGGCCTCGGTGAAAAGGCCGTTGACCAATCGATGCCTTTCCAGGGGCTTCAGCCCGTCAAAGGCCTCCAGAAATCGCTGAGGGCACTGGCAAGAGTCGGGGAATTCGAAGGAAATGGGATGCGACTCATGGCCTTCGAAACCACCAGGACATGGAAATGCGACTCATCGCTCTTGCGGCCGTGGGACTCGTTGGCCACCTGAAAAAAAACGGAAAACGAGATGTACTTCGTGAGCATTTCTGCATCTTCGCGCGCTCTCGGGCCTCCAGGTGCAGCGGCCGCAGCTCCGAAAGCTTCTGCTCGATGTGCCGCTGCACCGGGCCACCAAAGCTCCTACAAAGCGCGAATCACGAACATTAAACACATTTCAGGCTAAGCTCAAGCTCGGAGCGGCTAAGCCTTGAATCTTGGCATATGGAGCGCATCTCCGGCCCCGGCCCCTGGCCTGGCCACCTGGGCCCGGGCCACCTGGGACGCCTGGCGGGACGCCTGGCACGCAAGCTGGGACACGCGGCACGCGGCATGCCGATAGACGCGACGGCTGCGCCCACATAGATCCTCGCCCAATGGAGTTCAAACGGACTCGAACGAGACAAAGCGGTGAAGCCACAAGACGGTGCGTGAGTTGTTTCAAGCTGTCATAATATCGGTATTCAGCTCAGTCTAAGCCAAAATGCGCGTGCAACGTATCTGCTCTACTGCTAGCACATGCGAAGCCTCTGCAGAGGCTTCGGGGCACTCTGGAGCTTCTTTCTGGCGCTCGCATACTATCCGCGCGCTTCCTCTGGCATTTCCTGGCAAATGCAGTCCGGAGCCCAACACAGCTTCAAGGGGGCCAGCCAGCCACGCCTCTTTGAAGAGATCCTCATCTGGCACCACCTTGCAAGGCTCAGGAGGCTTTCAGAGTGCATCGAGTAGTGACTCCCGCCTCACCGATGTCCAGGCGCAGCAGCTTGCCTCAGGCAACGGCCCAAAAACGCCAGGACGGCCCGATCTGAGGAGATCCACTCTGATATCTCCGTCTCTCAGCTGCTGGCAGAGGCCGTCCAAATCCCACGCCTAACGAAGCTCGACCGAAGCTGCCGGAAGCCCGGGATGCGATGGGACGAGACTCGAGTTGCGAGTTGCGAGCCATGGCCTGCCGGGAGCTCCGGAGCCGAGCCATGGCCTTGGTGGCGGCCGCGGCCAGGAGAGCGCGTCCTGCTTGACAACTTGACTGGATCAAATGGATATCAAGTGGATATCAAATGGACATGAAATAGATGAAATAGGAGGTCCGCCCAGTCCGCCCAGTCCGCCCAGTCCTCCAGAAGCTTTCACACTCTTTGCGGTGAGCGGCCTGGCACGGCTCTGCTGCGGCAAAGCCACGACGCCCCTGAGGCCTCAAAGCCACGATGAGCTCCTCGGGCGTCAAGCTGCCAGCCGTCTTGGCCAGGCCTGGGGCGACAACTGAAAAAGTACAGAAAGGCAGGACTCGAGACGCAAGACGCAAGGCGACAAGGGCAGGACTCGACACCAGCGGCGGAGGCGGCTCCAACCCCAGCACCTGGCTTTCGCTTTGGCAAATTTTGGGCGCCTCGACACCCGCACCGCGCATGTCCAGCCCGGGTCACCATCAGCTCTGCTTTTCAACTAAGCCGGTCTTTGCCTGCACTGTGAAACACAGAATGCCTCGAAGTTTTCATGGCGCGTTGGATCTCAAAGACAAGCCGCTCTTTGGCCACTCAAAGGCACTGGCCACTCTGTCGATCCAGGTGAATTGCTGACAGTGCACAGTAATGTGTGTAGGGCACTAGCAGCAAGTGCCAAACCGAGTCCGTCCAAACACCTCAGGGACTCACACCAAAGTGCGCGTTCGGCCTCCATCCCACTATCCCAACAAAGCTTGGACTCTTGGAGTTCCGGGTCGGCAAACCCCTCATGCAGGCTCACTCTCATCGAGCCACCGGGCCTAGTGGGTCCCACTGAAAAAGCGTGAAGCCTGAGAGGATGGCGCTGGCAGCAGGCCAGAAGCAGGGGTCGATGACATCCCGGTGAAAGACCATGGGCAGCAGCCCGTAGAGGATGCCTAGGGGCGAAAGGACAATACAAAGCGAAAGGCGAAAGGAGCAATGCAAAGACATTTTGAAATAAAAAAAAAAAAAAACTATGGACGCAGGAGATTTGGACAAGCCGCTCACTGCGACCAAGGTGGATGCCAAGATCTCACTGTCTTTGCATGGGCCAACCCACATCAGTCCGATGGTCAGCGCAGCCAAAGCCACCTCAAGCAGTGACAGCATAGTGACAGCTTTCCCTGTGTCCGCCTGGTTGCTCCTGGTTGCCCCTCAAGCTTGAGCTGAGCCAACCGGCCTGCGATGGACCGATTCCTACACAACGCAAGGCATAGTAACAGGTACAGTGGTCTCGGTGGTCTTAGGGTACTTCGGGAGGGCGGTCTAGGCTCTTGGAGCACACGTCCGAACAGACAGAGCGAAGGGAGAGGCATGCCGAGCCACAGCGCCAAGTGTGTAGGAGACGTTCTGGGACATTGCCCATGCGCCCGCAATGCTGGCGATGGCAATGAAGGTCCTGCACATCAGGCAGCTTGGGCCTAGGGGCCTGGGGAAAACCCGCAAGCTGCTAAGCTGGGCGCTCCTGTCCAGCTTCTGCAGAACCGGCACCCAGCCCCTCTTTGCAGCGTGGCCGAAGTGGTTGATGACGCTGAAGGGAACGGTGCCGGCAATGGCCAGGCGCATGCTCTGCGTGCTGCCTCCGCTGCAGCCTTCAGCCCAGGGAGTCCAAAACGCCATCAGCAGCGGGCAAAGCATCAATATCCCCGCAACCACCTCGGCAGACACCCAGCAAATTACAAGAAGAATTGCCTCTAGCACCAGCTTGAGTTCTATGGATCTGGGCTGCTCCTGGCTTCCTGTCGCCCTTGAAATCTCACAGTAGCAACAGAGGAAACCTGACTGCAGGGCCTGTCACATGGTCTCTAGCTCAGATGACAGCTTAGCCATTTGACTCAAGATGTTGTGACATGTCCTGAAGACCAAATGCACTGCCGGTTGATGTCTTGCCTGTAGGAAACCGAAGCAAATCCATTCCTGTGGGGCGAAACACATTGACACACTGGCATGCTCCCGTTTCCCAAAAGAGACGTTCAAAATTGGGAAGTGGGACACAACACAAAGAACCAAACAAAGGCTTGGTGCGAAAGGATAATCATGTAGAATCTATATTATTGCTACTGCTTCCATGGAAGACCTGTAAGCTGTACCAGGACTGTACCATGTCTTCCGCCCAAGGCACCTGTGCCAGGGGCAGCAAAGGGTGCAGGCGGTGCGGCGCGCAGCCCCACTGGCCACCATGGACGCCCAACTTTTGTGCCGGCGGCATGAGAGATGGCTTACACTCCGTGAGCTGTGCTGCGGGAAGACGCAATTGAAGTCGAGAAGCCCTAAAACGCCCAAACCACATCATCTATTCAAGAAATGACTATATAATGTGTGTATGTACGTACGTATGCAATACAATGCAGTGGAATGCAGCGCAACACAACGCAATGCAACACTGTGCAAGGCAATGAAGGTAGGTATGTAGGCATGAGGCGGGCAGGTATGTAGGTGTGTGTGTGTGTGTTGGCGTGTAGTTTTCGTATGTATGTATATGTATGCATGCATATAAGCATTCAAGCTCGCACACAACCGAGCACGATCAGGATTGAGCCATAGGCAAGGCATGATGCTCACGAAAGCAGCCCGCTGCGAGAAAACAACAAACACTCGCCCAACAACCAAAGCATGCAAGGGACAGGGACACTCACAGCAACCCGGATCACGGGAGTGCGACCAGACGGTCGAAGAAGCTTCCCAGGCACACAACACAATTCTTCCCCCCCAGCCCCTCGATGTGGCTGCCAGGCAATGGCCCAGTAACCTTTTTCACCCCAAGACCCTGGAAAGCGAGGAAAGAAGGGGCAGAAAATGAGAGCGCAGAGGGAAATGGGATCACGGAGCCTGTTTGCGGTCTCTTCAAGCCCCTTTCACAGCCTAAATCCTTTCCCAGGCAGCAACGACACAAAGCTTCCCCCTGGCCCCTCGTTGCGGCTGTCAGGCAATGCTTGGCGCGGGCGACGCCAAGTGAAAGCTTTGCAACTTGCGCAGTCCGGAAATTTTCCAGAGCGGCCCAGGTGAAGACGAGAAGGAGATGTTGCCAGTTTATGTGTGCGTGCACGGACGAACCGCAACCGATGAGAGCCAAGCGAGAAGAATTGGGACATTCGCTGAACCGATTCGAACCGCACTTCCCTCTCTCGGCATGCGCAAGCCTAAGGGCTTCCTCGGGTGTGATCACCTTCCCACGGCCCCCAACCGTGACATGCAAGGGACAGCGAAATCCCCTGTATCTATGTACGTACGTATGTAACTGTATCTTGTATCTTTTCTTTATTTTCTGTTGCTTTATTTTCTTTTCTTTCTTTCTTTGTTTCTTTCTTTCTGTAATTCTATGCGCGTACGTAAGCATCTACCTACTTATCTATCTATCTATCTACCTGTGTATGTACGTATGTAGGTATGCAGGTATGCAGGTATTCAGGTATGTAGGTAGGTACGTATTGTATTGTATTGTATTGTATTGTATTGTGTTGTGTTGCGTTGCGTTGCGTTGCGTTGCGTTGCGTTGCATGCATGTGTATTTTAATTGTGTGTAGGCTAACACAGGCGAGAGGGGCATGGCTCGTTAAAAGCGGCGAGAGGTCCAAGGGTTGATTCCTCTTCCATTCTTTTCAACCATCGTTCTTTTCAAAAACCGGAGCCGTTTCCCTGGGTTTCCGGAGGTTTTCTAGAAAGAAGGATTCCTGGAAAGAATGGGGAAGGTAGCACTAGAAGAGGAGCCAGAAGGGGGTGGGCATGGCTGGTGACAATCAGTCCTCTTGCTGCCATTTGTTCAAACACCCGTCCGTCGACTCCCCCTGTTTTGAAAGTTTTGCACATCACGTGGCTAGCCTAGTTGCGGTTCGCTTCCCTTAGTAGGGGTGATGTTTTGAGGGCTTCTTGAATTAAATACAAGCTACGGTATGTACTAAGTTACTCATGCATGTGTCAATGTATACGGTATGAGTATACGGTATGAGTCCAGCCTTCATGCTCTGGAGCACGCGCACTGAAGCCTGGCAAAGCTCATGCTGCTAAGCCCGCAGCTTGCTCATGGAGTCGAACTGACATGACATGGGTTGCTCTTCGCGCCTTTGCCGACAACTGATCCTCATCGGACAGAATCGCCAGCTGATCGATCAGCGGCAGGGTTGCTCCCAGAATCACCTGTGCAAGCACTTCGATTCCCCGCCATTCGAAGGTCGAGTCTGTCTGCGTCGATGCTCAAGCCTCTGCATCGATGTGAGACGCCTGAGCCGCACTTCTCTTCCGACCCTTCTCTCTCTTCTCGCATCTTCTCGCCCACCCGTCGCGCCTCGGCCCTAGCCCGCCGGGCTTGCAGCTGCGCAAGGGCACGGAAGGTGGCCACGACCGCCGCGGGCGGCAGCGCCAGCCCTGCGGCCTCCGGCAGCCGCCGCAGCAGCGCGGCCTCCGCGGCCTCCGCGGCCTCCGCGGCCTCCGCGGCCTCCGCGGCCTCTGAGGCCTGGGGCGACTCGTCCGGGCGGGAGCGCACAGACAGCAGGAAGCCAGGCAGCAGGGCAAGGCTGCACTCTGACATCCGCGTGGCCAGCGCATGGCACCAGCCACTTCTGCTTGGGTGCAATGGGAACGCCAAGATCGCCATGAGGACGTCATCCGCCTGGTAGGCCCTGGAATCTGAAGCAGCCTTCACACCTTCAGCTTGCGCTAATGCTACGGACAAAGCTTCCAAAGTGTCAGCCTGAATCTGCTCCTTTGCCTGTTCCAACAAGCGGTGCGTGGCTTCCTTCCATGTGTCGGAGTCCAGGCCCATGGCTAAACTTGCTAGGGCGAGCTGGCAGCTTGGCGCTGCTGGCCGCTTCAGCGCAAGGGCCACGATACCCGCTGGGTGCTGCAAGGAGGCGAAGGCCTGAGCGGCCCGCACCATCTGCAAGTCGTCCAGGGCTGAACCTTCCGCATCCGCGGAGCACTTGGCGCACATGGCGCACATGGCCTCGGTGGACAGCAGAGCACGGCGCAAGCAGGGCACCATGAAGCCATCAGCGTTCTGGGCGCGGGCGTAGGCCTCCAGCAACGAAAGCACCTGAGCCGCCGGCCACTGTGCCAGGCGCTGGGGCACCAGCTCCGCTGCCAACACCAGCAACCGGGGCTCCACCAGCCCCAGGCGGTCGATGGCCTGCAGCGCACGACTGGCGTCCTGGGGCCTCAGCAGCCGCAGCTCCCGAGCCACGCGCATGGCCAGCTGCGCTAAGAAGAACTCCCTTTCCTGCTGTGCTTGCTGCAGCTGCTGCAGCTGATGTGCCTGCGTCTGCACATCTGTCTGCGCCTCGCTCTGGGCGTCTTTGGCCTCCTTGGCCTCCTTGGCTTCCCGCGACTGTAGCGCTGCAAAGCACAGCGAGAAGGACTCCAACACAGGAGGCAGGGAGTTGGCATGCAAGGAGTTCAGCTCTGCCAGGATCTCCTTCTGAAAGGCTCTGATGACCTCTGGCTGGTCAATTCGCAACTTGCCCATGGCCAGGGTGGCAGTGTGCAGCTGTGAGGCTTCCAACTCTCTAACTTTCAGGGCCAAAGTCTCTGCGAGCTCTTTTGCTGCCGCCCGGCCAGGTGACTGGTACTCAGTAAGCAGGGCCAGGCTGCTGAAGAGATCCAGGCACACATCCAGCCGCATGCCGAGGACGCCATCGACTGCCCACGCATCCAGCGTCCGCAGAAACCGCGGGCAGCGGAACTCCAGTTCAGCGAAGGCGCCGGCGATCATTGCCAAGCCCTTGCCGTTGAGCTTGCCGCTAGCTGTGGCCTCCTCAGCGGCACTGGACAGAGCCTGCAGCACGGGGCCACTGCGGAGCTTCATCCGGGCAAAGGCCTGGGCCACCGTGGCTAGGTGCGTCGCCTGCATGGTGGCCGCGTGCTGCACCAGGCATGAGGAGAGCTGGGAGAAGGCCGGATCATGCCACCGCACCGCGCCGAAGGCCCAGCAGGCAGCAGTGAGCTGGCGCGGGGTCATGGCACTGGCCAGGTCCTGTAGAGCCAAGGAGCCCCGGCTCCAAAAGTCAGGGTTCTCCAGGGACATCTTGGAGGCCAGGAACAGAGTCTCGGACACCTCCCCTGCAGTCATGTCCTGAAACGAGTACTCGAAGAAGCTGCCCTCCGATTTCAGTCGTTTCCATGCCTTCGAACTCAAAGGCCGGTCGTAGTGCTCGTACTCGTCCAGCCGCTGCCGCCGCTTTGCGAAATGCCGGGCGCCCAGAACTCGCCAGCCCCAATGCCAGGCGTTAGGTCGCGCCCACATACCCCAGGCTCACCAGGCTCAGTCCATGCCCAGCCAATTTCTACTCATTGCTTCAACGGTTGTTGGGGTGATCTGTTGCATGGGTGAGGTGGGCCAGGTGGGCTTAAGTGGGCTAGGGTGGGTGGGTTGGGTGGGTTGGGTGGGTTGGGTGGGTTGGGTGAGCTGGGTGGGCTGGAAGAGCTGGATGACTTGAAGGCAAAAAGACAGACAGGTGAATGGCAAGTCAGAGTAACAAGACATCGGCCACACAAGGCTGTGAGCCGCATTGACACAGCATTTGGCTGCCGAATCTCCGCGCCAACTTGTACATGCCAATCTAATGCAATCAGGCAAACCAAACCATGTCACAAGTTGGCCCCCTTTCTCTCATCTCGCTTTTTCCATTGGCATGGCACAGGGACCAGAACTGGCACGAACAGCTCTTGGCACAGATCAATGGGCACTCCAAACCTCCAAAACAACATGCATGAACACAATTCTAACATCCAGCTTGGGCCTTACCCAGCCAAGTTGGACTGTTCTGGCCAGTTGCACTTCGGGTCAATGCATCATGAAGATGCGGTCCTGCAGCAACATCTGGCAAAAGCTCGCTGGTGTCTTGAATGTGTTAAGAAACTTGCGTATATGCTCCTGGATGAGGTAGCAAGCCACCGAGTTGGCAACAGCAGTGCCTGCCACCTAAGTGCAGAACGGACGCGCCCGACATAGCTAAGTGGTCGCACGCGCCTTGAGCACTGGCAAGCCGCCAGCCCCTCGCGTCGACGAGAGCTTGACACCTGCAAACTTCCCTGACTCAGCGACTCCCCCTCCCTTTCACATCCTTTCTACTCTCCAAATCTCGCCGACTCGTCTCTCGTCTCGGATGGAATGTCCACAGCTGGGCGGCCCCGCCAGCGCGCCGCGCAATACCGGAGGAGTCGTTCGCCAACAAACGCGCGACCTGCCAGGTACGAAGTCGTTCGCGATGCAAGCGAAGTCAAAGCCTCCTCGTTGGGCATCGCCAGCTGCAGCGTCAGCGTCCCCAGGTCGCTGGAAACGCCGAGTCCGAGGCCAAGACCCCCACCGCCTGGGCCCAGGCCAGCGAGGCCACTGGCGAGGCCACTGGGACCTGCGAAACGCTAAGTGCCCAATGCCGAAGATCCGAAGATCCGCAGATCCTTAGCGCACCTGGCGAGGCCCGCGCGCTGGATAAGGCACCTGCTGCACAGTTCGAGTCAGGTGCGAGGGCAATGCGGGCAACCAGATGCCTGCAAGGCCCACGCCGAGGTCCATCAGCGCAGAGCCTGCGCGCACCCAAAGGCCGACATCCGATTGCCCAATTTCAAGCCATAAGCTGCATTGGTCCATCAGCCTGCAATGCTGCAAGCAAGGCACACTGCTCAGGCCTCCAGTTAGGCCTGTCGCGTCACGGCCTAGGAGTGCCAAGCGACCCCAACTGGGCCCCTGGGCACAATGTGGGAGAATCCGTGTTTTGTCAGAGCACCCGGGAATTTCCACAGTCCGCAACAACTGAAGCTTTTTGCTTTGTATTCTCCCACTCATGGTGGTATGAGGTGAGCGAAGTTACATCGCCAAAGTCAAACCAATGTCAGCACAAGCCATGTCTGAAGCAGGGAAGCCCGCCCTCGCGGCCGCGCTGCTCCAGGGCACTGTGGACTTGCCTCACAACCTCACTCAGGACGCCGCGTTTCAGGAGATTGACGTAGAAACGTTGCTTGATGTTGTTTAATAGCGAGGCGGCTTCACCACGCTGGGGCCCAAGCGTCTACTCTCTGGGACACGCTGCCTTTGATGTCCATGAGACGAAACCGATAGTCCCCATCCTGCCAAGTTTGAGAGACAAATGTGACGAATGTGTGGTCTGGGCGGTTCTTCCGGATTGCACAGTCCTCCAGGTGCTCAGCCTTGTGCTGCTGCACCTGCCCAAAGCTTTGAAGCCAACTCAGCCCATGTCCGATGCCAAGGTTCATACTGGTGGATGCATGACATCCACACAGTATGCAAAAGCCGACTGGAAGCGCAAACCCGAACGGATCCACTAAAACGGGCTGGCAAGCAAACAGCATGCACACTGTGCCCCAACCTGAGCCAATGCCAGGCCTGCGCTTTGCTGCTCTGGATGATGCTTCTCAATGTCTCGCCGCGGTGGCCCATGACCTCAGAGTCAAAGTTTCTCCGGAATCTGGGCATTGAAGGCATTGCGTGGGTGCCCGGACAGAACCGAAGAGCTCTGTGGGGACCAGCAGCCGCAGTTTGCCCTGACGCAAGTTGCCCAAACGACAGCCACTTCATCGGGAGCCCGGCCGGGCCATCCCGGGCCAAGTCCTCCGCCACCTTGGCCGCTGCGACGTTCGACGTGATGCGACGTGCGACGTGCGACGTGCGACGTGCGACGTGCGACGTGCGACGTGCGACGTGCGACGTGCGACGCGAGTCCGGAGTCGAGGCCCTGAGGCGCGGGCCATCTGAACCACCTTCACGCGGGACTCCAAGGAGGCAGCGGAAATCTCCAGCACGCGCTCCGAGGGATCGAAGGGCGGCGCGTCGGCATCCACCATGTTCACCTCACGTGACTCACGTGACTCACGTGACTCACTTGACTCACGTGCATAACATTTGCATGGCCACCTGGACCGGTCGACCTCTAGCACTTATCGCTCTCCGCGCCTTGGCCCAGTCTCGCAACCGGGCGATCTTGTTGCCTAGCCCGCAGACATTGTAGAGAGAGAAGCACCCACCCCTTCCGCCCCCCGCCTCGCTTGCCAACAATCCAAGCAGCGTCCTCTTTCGCAATGAGGAGCCGAACAGGCACCTGGGCAAAGCCGTCAAATCTTGCGAATTCCTACAAATATCCTTGCGCACTTGGCTGCTTGCCTCCTTCTGATCTCTGGTCGCACTGCGCATTGGTGCGTTAAAAAGCATGCCTCAAACAAAACAGTACCGTACCACTCGCGGGGATGGGGTGGGGTATGTGCAAGTCGCCTTGAGATGCCTCGCGAAGCTCGAAGTGCTCCGTCTTCAACACCCCTCCTGCAAGGTGAGGCAAAGAACAAGCCTCAAGAGCTTCCGTTCTTTAAGCTCTGACCAGGCATGCCGGCCATGCCGGCCATGCCGTCGCGCCTGCCATCAGCTCGCCGAGAACTTCCAGCAATCTGGCCAGACGTGACATCGGGGCGCAGGGCGTTGCAGTCTTCTTGGAGCTTCACTCCAGGCCTCCAAATGGCTGCAGCCGCATCAGGCATCGTAGTGGCACTGATTCGAACCTGTGGGCAGCAAACGCAGCGACGACTTTTGAAATTTTGGCCGCATCGGGCCTTCTTCTGCTCGGCCAAACCGCAAACCGGATCCTGACACCGCATCACACACGCGCACACACACACAGCGACAGGGCGACAGGAGCGACAGGCAAATGCGACAAGGCAAGCCCACAGTCCTGACCCACTCGAATATCACACCTCGTCTCCTCAATCAAACAGCAAGTGCCACCCTTTGATGCCTTCAATTCCTGCCTGGCAAAGAGCCTTGACACGGTCCCCCTTCTGGCCGATCAGGTGTGACCCACTCTTCTCTGGCACAAGCACCTTGCAAATCACACAAACGGTCACTTCCCGCCAGGCTTCAGTATGCTTCGTTTGCTTCAATGCCTCCACGATATAGTCTCTATCTCTGGCTGCTCCTTCTACCTGGAAATTCTCAGTGCGCTTTCTGGGATCGAGCCAATCCGACTCCCTCACTCAGGCTCCAGCAGTGTCGGGCAGCCCTGACCGATCGAAGACCCGCTCCAGGACGCCCGAGATGGCCTCACGTCTTTTCTCCAACCCTGCAACAAACCCTGCAACAAACCTTGCGCGTCCTTGCCCTCTCCTAGCGGTCCTAGCGGTCCTAGCGTGCTCCCCTCCCCCCCAGCTGGCCTCCTGCACGGCCGCGGTATCCCCTGTGATCACGGCCACCCGATCCTCCCGACGCTGCATCTCGTGCGGCAGCTCCTTCCAATGCGCCCATTTCGAGGCAAAACGAGACTCCTTTACCGTGATTTTGATCAGGCCCAATCTGAACGCCGCTTCCCCCTTTTCCCCCAACCCCCTTTTGTCGCCTTTTGGAGGACACGCACGCTTGCACCACCTGAGCTGGCGCAATGATCTCTTGCTTGCCAAACTCTCACTCACTTTCAGATTCTGTTGGATGGCCACGTACTCGACCGCAATTGAGAGGTTGACGTATCTGAAATTGGGCGGGCCCGAACTTGCTGGGCATCGCGCTCTGCTCCCGGATAGCCTTGATGTTGGCGCCCTGTTTCCCGATCACACGTGCTGCCGGCACAACGGGCAGGAAGATGTGGCATGGAACCTGAGTCCAAAGATCCAAAGCCGCTCCACATCGCTCCACTATGTTGCACTTGCATCTCGGAACTGGAAGCGTTTTTCTTCAAGAAACTTCCCTCTCAGCTCGAAACCCGTGGAAGCTCCTCCGGGGTTCGCTCCACGGCCTTCTCCTCCTCCGCTTCCTCCTCCGCCTCCTCCTGGTCGAATCGCGGCCGCTGGTCTGTATTTGCGGTGACACCGGCCTCCGGCTCGGCCATGGCCGGAGCAGTTGCAGTGCCAGAACTTCAGGCTCACTATGGCTCACGAGTTGATACTGTTTCCCACGAGCTGAGACGCCTGTTGCACTGTCCCAAGGTTGCCTAAGGGCTGCAAGCTGAAGTCTTGCAAGCTCTCTCCAAGCTGAGAGGCTTGACATGGTTTGACGGCAACACGAGCGCCACGGCCCGGAAAGGTGCTGACACCAATGGATGCAAATGGGTGCCCACATGGACAATGCTTGGGGTGCCTAGTTGCGCACGCCCATTTTCACGTGACATGAACCTCCTGAGTCCAGATCTTTGCCGGAGAACATACGATCTTGTTCTGCGATGCACCGGCTCACAAATCCTCTTCATCGGGGTCCTGCGATCCGAGCAAATCGGATCAAGTCTTCGGATGCCAAGCGTCTGTCCAGTAGGCCGCTTTCCGCAGCTTCAGCGCCCTCCTCTGAAAGCAGTCTTGTTGGCTCGGTCGCTTGACTCAAGCTCGCGCCTTCACCGGCGGCGGCTTCGCGTCGAACTTGATGCTGCACTCTCTTTGCAGCCAGGCAATCATGTCTTCTGGCTGACGGCTGCCATGGTACATAACCTGAAGATTGCAAAATCCAAATGGGAATAGAGCAGCCAAGCTGAGAGACAGGCGTGCCGCTTTGGCAACTTGCCGGCAGGGAAGAGAATGATTGTAGGGAAGCCAGTGATTTGCACGCCCTCAACCTGCACGTTGACACAAGCGCAGTATAACAGCATGCTATCTGGCTTGCGTTGCGAGTTCGAATGGACTCACGCGTGCAAATCAGTGTGACTGCCTCGTTCCGGGTGGCGTCTATCTTGGCGATCTTGAGGGACTTCACGTGTCTCAAGTTCCTGAGAGCAGATTGACAGGGTTCGGGCGCTTGTTGTCCAAGCTGAGAGCAAGACTTGGCAAGCTCCTTGTAGAGCGGCTCAAACTTTCGGCAATGGCCGCACCTGCGCTTCCAACAAATAAAGAGCCAACAATGCATGTCTTGGCCGGCAAAAAACACAGTGGGCTTCAAACACGCCGGCGGGGCCAAGGAGCAAAGAAGTCTACCAAAACATCCTGGAGTCGTGCGTGAAGCAGCAATATAGGTGCAGTGGCTCAAAGTTTAAAGCTAAGTTCCAACATGCTATGTGTCGCCACGGCCTTGGGATGATTGTGCAGCCAGCATGTGAACATAGCACCGGCAGCACAAGCAGCCAGCACCACCGGTCAACAACACCAAGACATAGAGTAAACTAGGTCAGTCAAGGCTGGTTACAGGTGCGAAGTGCGTTGCAAATGATTGCGATGAAGCCTTTGGAATGACTGAGCGTCCCTGCAAACATCAGTTTCAAATATCAGACTCTGGCCACAATTATGAGAGAGCCAACGAATACACCGAGCCCTCCCCTCCTTGCTCTCATCTTCAACCCCGGCCGTGAAGGTGGTGCCCACAAGTGGCACCACAGCCACTTTCATGTCCTGGGGCCAAATCCGCAAAATTCGGAGAGCCGAATTCGGACAGAAGAAATTTGCAAGCCAAAGTCGCCTCGGCCGAAGGCTCCGCCTCGCTCTTCAGCCAAGGCTTCAGTCTGCCACCCTCAAAGTCGGACACGAAGCCCACGATTTTCTCTGACGTGGCTCCTCACATTTTTGCAAGAGACTCGAATCGATCACTGCTTGACTCGCGGGATCCTCCAAGTGGCAGTCGATACTTCCTGGGGACGTGGTACTGACCCCTGGTGCTCTCATAGCTTGGGACCTAGCGCACAAAAAGGCCGGCTTGTGCGCTGCTTGGCTTCCCTTACGTGACTAGGGCAACCTCCACGAGCGCCAGCAGCGGAGGCTGCCCGTCGCCGACCATCTCCACCACGCGCCGCTCCATCAACGAGGATGTGCCCTGTCAGCCGCCGAGCCGCCGACTGTGAAAGTGACTCAGACTCTGCGAATCTGGCGGAAATGCAGGCGTGCACGCGGCCCCGAAGCTTCATGGCTGCCTGGGCTTGCACACGGCCGCTTTGGTGTCCCTCGTTTTACAAGAAAGCTCGGTTCACGGATCATGTTCAAATTGCGCCTCTCTGAACACTTTCTCTTCTGCACTGTCAGCACTGTCAGTGATGAAGATCAGTGCCTTGCCAAAGAGGCAGACTCAACTCCCCTCTCTGGCCCATGTCTCAGAATCTGGCCGGCACGTTGTCCGGGTTGGCACTAAAAATCTTCTCTGCTGCGTCTTGGTCCATACCTGGGCCGACCCAGGCTGCTCTGAATTGGCAAAAGATGACAACCTCCCCCACTCAGCCCCCCCCCCAAAAGGAGAAGCAATGTAACGCCAAGGCAAGCCCAGTGCCAGGCGCATCACAGTGGGCGTGCGTCTGCCATTGATGAACCTAAGCAAGTCTACCCATGCAAGCCGCACAAATGTTCAGCATGTTCCACCAGTTCCAGTCTGCAAGTCTGCGACTTGTCCAGCGCATGGTAGTTTGTGAGATCGCCCTCGAAAATTGCGTAACGCTCGTCATAAGGGAAGAACCTCAGGCGGTCAGATGCGCTTGCTCTGGGAGATCGACAAGGGCTGCTGAGACGAACACATCACCACAGATGGCACCGGAAACTTTGGATGCTCCTGAGCTTGCGCCAGGAGTGGCGAAGCCATAGCAGTCAAGGCCGCACTTGCCAACATGAGTGATCCGATGTCTGTCGTCAGTTTTGTTCGTTTTCCCCAGCCTTCTCCACCTTCTTCTCGTCGTCACAGCACTTGATCTGAATCAGTTGACCCCAGCCGGCAGACCTAAGACCCCCCAATGCAAACACAGCACCTGAAGCACCTGAAGCACCTCACTTCCCGCTCTTTCGAGGCGCCCAAGGCCGGCGCTGGTCAGTTCGTTTCACCGTCAGGGTCTTGCCTGCTTGCACGCTGTACCATTACACGGACTTTGGAAGCGGAAGCAATCCGCTAAAAGACTAAACTTGCTTCAGAAGGTATGCAAAGCTCTCTGAGAAACCATGCACGCCTCAGAGATCAGACTTCCAGTATTTTTCTCTTGGACAGCGTGCCCAGAGGGACCAATAGACCCTTGAAAATTCGACCCTTTTTAAATAAGGGTGTAAGCCCTAGATTGCAAAGTCAAATAAGGGTCTATTTTTTTACACCATGAGGGAGGGAGGGGAACACATGAGGGAGGGAGGGGAACACATGAGCATCACTCTTCTTGTCTCGCATGGCTCAGCAGTTTGTATATAGTGCCCTGCCGCCATGGCGGGATTAGAACCCGATGCTCGAACTCTCGTCGCGATTTTCAGGAAGCACATGCCAGGAGGACCAAAATCTGCAGACTACTTGCAGCCGGACCCAGACATTCTGTGCGCAAGGCTCGAAGATCTCCTCATGGACATATGCCGCATTCAGAGGCGCAAGACTGGCAAGTTCCTGCAAACTTGCATCAAAGAAGCTTGGGCCTTGAGTCATGGCGAAGTCAAGACTTTTGCTCAAAGACTTCAAGCAGGTTTGGAGCACATCTACCTGAAGAAGAAGCAGGCCACCTCAGGCAAGAAGCTTGCCCCTGCAGTTGCCAGGATAATCAAGCTTTTGAGCAAGGAGGGCTTGGCTGAGGTGCCAAACGCGTCTGAGCAAGGCAAGGAGGACCTCCAAAACTTGTCTCCAGAGCAAGTCTCCAAGCTCTACGAGAAGTTTGGCGTGGACACTGTCCCAGAGTTGGCAGCATCCAGCAGTTCCCAGTTGGTCCCCATTGAGGTTTGCAGCTCCCAAGAAATTCTCGCAAGCCAGGCGTCGGCAGCACCCCCAGATGTCAACTACAAGCAGTACACTTGTTCGCACGCCGTGGCCCTCGTTCGACTCTTTCCTGACGGCTCCCAAACAACTGCCACCATGAAGGTGGGCCCGGGAAGCTTTGCCTTGGGCTGTTTTTCTAGCGAGGAAGAACACGAAAGTGAGATTCCCAATTCCATGGTGTTGGCCATGGATCCCAAGGTCAAAAAAGCTGCAAAGGCAGCTGCAAAGGCAGCTGCTATGGCCTTGAAAAGGCCTGCCAGCAAAGCACCTGCTGACTCTGGGAGTTTGAAAGCCATGAAGAAGCCGGCAGCTGCCCCTGTTGGCCTTCCAAAGTGTAGTGATGCCTCGAATCATTTATTTGCTGTCATGCACTATAAGAACAGCAATTCGTACGCCATTCGTGCAAAGACTGGCACCAAAGCCCAGCTCTTTTGTGTCCCCTTTGGTGAAAGGACTCCACAGCAAGTTTTTGGCATTGTCAAGGATGCTGTGGCTAAGCTCACCGCTGGAGACGATGTCCAAGCTGTGAAGGAGTGGGCACGATCTGCGTAGAACACGGTACACTGTGGTCCAAAACCTGCACTTGTTTTTTGGGGAATGCGCATGTTCGAATGTATATGTGAACGCATCTGCAGTGTGTGTTGTTGCAAACAGGCCAGGCTGTGTGAACACACGCAATTTCAACTGACACATTCTTACGTACAAAAGGAACAAACGACAAACCACCACAATGTTTATGAGGGAGGGAGGGAGGCGACCTTGGTGGGAAGGATGGTGGCTTGAAAGTGTTCTGTTTTAAAACTGTTGCAAACCAACCATGTGCAGGAGGGAGGGAGGAGCTAAATTGTTGTAACATGACCCCAATGGTGTTTTTTAGAAGGGATGATGTTGGAATAATTTGTAGCTGTAAAAGGGATTGTCTAAGGGGGACTGGGCGCTTGACACATGCTTGGTCGCAGTTTGCTTGATGCATGGCTCATGTTGGAAACCTGTTGCTTGATGCATGGCTCATGTGAGCGATCCTGATGTCTCGGTGCCATCATGTCTCGGTGCCACCATGCCTTCCCTGAAGAGGCCTGCCAGTGCCCCTGCAAAAGCAAAGTGCAAGGTCAAAGCCAAGGCCAAGGCCAATGAGCCCCAGGCCAAAGCTGCGCCCCCTGTAGAGGGGGAAGAAGAAATGTCGCCTGAAGCCAAAGCTGCATCCATTGTTTTGGAGCAGTTGCAAGAGAGCATGGGTGGGCCTGATGGCTTTGTGCCTGCAAACCCAAGCTTGGCTGCCATACATGCCACTGTGACAGAGGCATGCTAGGAGGCTTTGGCTGCCAAAGCTGCCCCGGACGCTGCGCCTGCTGCTCCTCGCCCATGGTGTCCTGACCAGTGGACCGAGGATAACCGGACCTGGTGGCGTCCTTGCAGGTTGTGCTCTAAGAGGTACTACTGGCGGGTCGGCTGTATGAGCACAAAGTGCGTTTCTTGGCTGGGAGGGAGGGACCGAGAGTACGGGACTGGGAGGGAGGGACTGGAAAAAAGGGACTGGGAGGGAGGGACTGGGACTGGGAGGGAGGCGCTGCAAGAGACGGACTGGGAGGGAGCTGAAACATGTTTTTCCCTGTTGTCTCAGGCTGACTTCAAGAAGGAGGAGCTGGCCAAGGACAAGAAGAAGGGCAAGAAGAAGTGGAGCAAGCAAGACTGGATCGACCCTGAACTGAAAATCATGGGGGGAGGATGTGGTCACTGAAAAATAATGCAAAACAAGACAACCTATAGGGAGCCCGAAGGAAGGAGGGAGGGAGGAAGGGACGGCAACTTGTAATGCCAATATCGCAAGCTGCCACCCGAGGACTGGGATGCAGCTACATTTGCTCCAATTCATAGAAGCACATTTATGCAAGACCATTGTACAGCATGGTGAGGGAGGGAGGGAAAAAACCACCATGATACCTGCCAGGTACCACCTGTACCTCCTCCTGTGCCTCCTCCACCGAAACCGCCAGCGGTACCACCTGCAAGGCCACCAAACGTGAAATTCGGAGGCTTCAAAGCCATGCCTGTCCCCAAGCCGGTTGTGAAAGCACCTGCAGCCAAAGCTACGCCAAAGACCACTGACCACCCCCCAAAGCCTGTGGGGTGGTTTTTGGTCAATTCGACGGTGACAGTGGCAGAAGTTTATGATGTGGCCGACCAGCCTGCCGCTCCCATGTTGCCTCCTCCTCCTACAAGGAATGAGGCAGGCTATCGTGCGTATGCTGCAGCTATGCATAGGCAGCATCAGCAGGAGTAATTGGCATGTGCAGTTGGCAATATGGAAAAACACATTGCATGCTGGCAGGGTGTCATGCCAAATACTTGTATGTTGAGGGAGGGAGGGATGGATGGAATGAGGGAGGGATGGAGGGAAGGGGAAGGGAGGGAAGGGAGGGAAGGAGGGAATGGATGGAGGGATGCTAGTTTTGTTTTTGAAAAAAGCACTCGAACTTCAAATGCGCAATATTTGAATGATCTCAATGGGCACCATTTCATGCAAACCTTTTGGAAAAAACTTTGGTCCCTTGTTGGTCCTTGGTTGGTCCATTGTTTTGATCCATTGTTTTCACTCAATCAAGGGAAATGTACACTCATTTTTTCATTGGACTGGATCACATTTTTTTATATTCATGAAATATTGGCAGTTGCAAAATGTTTGAAACAGGTCCCAAACAGTCCTAGGGAATTGCCATAGCATGTCATGTCAACATGATCTTGAGGATTTGATAGGGTTTGCGCAGTGACTGGCATCCACCAAGTCTGTGTACAATGCCAGTGCTAGAATGTGATGAATGTGGACTGGAGAAAAAACATGGTTGAAAAAGTTGAAAATTTTCAACTTTTTCAACTACATTTTAAATGTAAAGTAAAGGAAAAGGGAGTTGAAAAAGTTGAAAATTTTCAACTTTTTCAACCCTGGTTTTTTCTATGAAGATACCCCACTTGTTTATCTTGATGTCTGATTGGCATTGATCCTTGAACATTCTGGTATTGTTACATTTGAGAGAATCCTGGATGGATGGATGGAATTTGCACTTTGCTCCATTTAGATTTGCAGCATTATAGCGCTAGAATATTTTGAGCTTCTCAGCAATGGCTGCAAAGAGGAATGGCCAGAAGGATGCCAAGGCCAAGGCATCGGCCAAAGGAAAGGCAGCTGCTGCCAAGGCAGCTCCTGCCACTTTGAAGTCTGTGAAGAAGGAGCCTGACTCCCAGGAGAAGGCCTCTTCTGGCCCTTCAGTTGACAAAGCCGCCCAACAAGGATTCATCAACAGCATCAAGTATAGGGCCAACACTAAGAACGACCCTGATGCCCAGACCTTGTTGGAGGCCTGATGTTTAAGAATACAATAATAATATGCAAATTTTATTTTGCATTCAGACCCTAATTAGTAGATTTTGTTTTCCAATTTTTTAACCTTCAGTTTTTCACATTTTGAAATTTGGTAATTTTTCTCAAATCAATCTACTTTCTGTGGCCTTTGCAGGCCTACAATAAGATGAGCTCCACCGAGAAGAAGGCTCTGATTTCGAGATTTCAGGCCCAGGGGGGCTTGAAGAATCTTTCTTGGGCAGCCGAGCTCAAGCAGGAAGCCATTGACTCCACCACTGTGACCTCCAATACTGAGAAGGGCATGTTCACTGCCTCCCAGATTTTGAAGTTCCATGGGCTTGTGGTTGGAGTCAATATCACCCAGGAGCGGCAGGATGTGGTTCTGAAGGAGCTCCTCAGAGAGAACCGGGAGGAGTTGGGCCTGGATCCCAACATCAACATCGATCAGGTGCATCCCACCATTCCTGAGCTGAGCCGCTACTACTACGAGAAGGCAAGCTCCAGCACCTCGACTTCGAATCAAGTTCAAACCACCTTGGAGGTGGGCTCCAGCTCTGTCAAGACGGACAGCTTGCTCAAGCCCATGATCGCTCATGGGGACGAGAGCACAGGTGTCCATGAGAATCCCGGCTACGCCGCCCTGCTGGAGACCATGAAGGCCTTGCAGTCTGTGAAGGGCAAGGTCGATAAAGAGCTGGCCCTGGCCAGGAGCCTTTTGCTTGACTTGGAGGCGAACGAGACTGAGGCATTTTTGCCAACTCAGGAAGAAATTGCCACCATTTTGAAGGCTGTTGACTCCTGGTTGCTTTTCTGTCGGAAGGCCCTCAACCAGGGAAACAAAGCCAACCCAGACACAAAGCTGGAGGAGCTCAAAGAGCTGGCCTCCCAGCTTGAAACTGTGAAAGGGAGCGGTGTCGTCCACCTGGATGGCTTAAAGGGCGTCCAAAAGAAGCTGAAAGCCTTGCTGTGAAGAGAACGTGCAGGAGGGAGAGAGAAAAACGACCTTGTCCTTCACTTGCTGACTGTGCAGCTTGAAATACAGTGCCAGCCATTTTCGAACTTTGTCTGAGTCATGTCAAAATATTTTGTGTTACAACGAGAGAGAAGGAGAGAGAGAGAGAGAGAGAGAGAGAGAGAGAGAGAGAGAGAGAGAGAGAGAGAGAGAGAGAGAGTGAGAGAGAGAGAGAGAGAGACAGGTAGAGATACAAGAATTTGCATGCGCAGCTCCTTGCTCGATGTCATGTTCAGTTGTTAGATGCAAGCTGGTAAGCCATGGCATCTGTGTGGCACAAAGTGCTCCTATGGATGATTTTCTGGGATGTGACACCTGCTAGTGCCATGTTCCACAACAAGAAGAGTGGGGACAATATTTTCGAGTCCCCCACCAAACGGTTGAGGCAGCATGTTCACACACTGTTTTTGGACAACAAGCTGAGTGGACAAGAAACCCAGCTTCTGGAGAACCAGATTGGAGCCTGTCATGTGCAAGGCTTCAAAGAGCATGCAGGCCCATCTGTCAATGTCAGCAAAAAGGCTGCCAGGGACATGCTGAGAAGATGCTTGAAGGGCACAAAGTGGCCCAAAATATATACAGCTGAAATACGAATTTGGGACGCCAAATTACAAGTGGAGAAGTACGCCAAGGTAGCACTGCTGCTGCCACATGAGCTTTTGCATGTTCTTGGCACCATGAACTCAGCTGAGACTTTGACGCAACTGGATGGTGCTGTGGAGTCTGTGCAGGCGCATTGCAGGAAAGCACAAAGAGCTTTTGGCAGCCCAACGTGTGGCTTCGGATTGTGGAGTGATGCTACTCCATTCAACTGGGACAGAACAAAGACTTTGGAAATTATTTTGATCAGTTTTCCAGGGCTAGAGCCTCCACATCATACAGTCCGAATTCCGGTCTGTGCGATTCCTCATGAGTTGGTCCCCAAGGAGAAAACATTTCAAGATATTTTTAGCATCATTGCATGGAGCTTCCAGTGCATGGCCATTCAATTCATGCCCAACCACAGGCATGATGGCAGTCCTTGGTGCGTCCCAGAAGACAATTGGAGGAAACAACGGCAAGGCTTACCCTTGCCTTGTCCTGGTGTTCTTGCTGAAGTGCGATGTGATTGGACATGTCAAGCTGAAGTGTTTGGCCTTCCCAGCTGGCAGCAAAAAGCTGGCATTTGCTGCAAATGCTCTGCCACCTTGGAAACCTTCACTGACTTCACTTCCAATGCTGTGTTGAGGACCGAAAGATACAGCCACTGGGATTTTCTGGAGAAACTCGAATCCTTGGACAGGCCAAGGACTGCTCTTTACAAATGTCCATTCTTCACCACCGAAGTTTTTAAATTGGATTGGCTGCATGTTGCAGATTTAGGCTGCAGCTGCGATATGCTTGGCAATCTTCTATGGTATGTTCTGCCCAAATTTGGTGGCACCAGGCAGGAGCAACTGAGTGCGTTGTGGCTCCGTATGAAGATATATTACGCTGACTGCGCCATCCAAGACACAATTGGCAACTTGACCTTTGGCATGCTGAGGAAAAAAGCACCACTTCGCCCAAGCTGAGAACTAGGGCAGCTGAGACAAGAGCATTGATCCCCTTTGGGGAATCCATTGCTCAGTCCATGCTGGACAGCGACATTCCCTTCGAGTTGGGCATCAAGGATGCCATGCATTTTTTGCAATTGTCTTATGATTGCCTTCACAAGGACCGATTCGACCAGGTCCATTTTCAGAATGTTGTCTTCAAGTTCTTGCAAACATATCAATGCCTTGGATCTTTGGCAACTGAAGAATACACTTGGCATCTCAAGCCGAAATTCCATTTGCTTGCTGAGATTGCTTTGGCTGGGGACTGCCCGTCTTTAAATTGGTGTTACCGCGATGAGGAAGCTGGAGGTAGCATCAGCAAGATTGGCCGCTCCAGAGGAGGCCAACAAACTTTGTGGTCTGTGTCCAGTAGATGTTTGCAGAAATTCTGCTGCGACTTCCAGGCGCCAGTGTTTGATGAAAAAGACTTTGGCAGCCACGCGTTGCCTGCACGTTTCTGCGCTTGCGTGTCTGACTGGCAGCTTCAAAACATCAGCAACACTGGAGGGGGGACGGCAGGAGCAAATGTCGCATGGATTGGTTGGTTAACTGGGACTGCATGGAGGGAGGAAGGGAGGAGTCCAAGTTCCAGAACACAATTTTTTACCAAAACAAATAAGGGTCTATTTTTCTATTCGACCCTTAAATTAAACGCTTGTTAAAATAAAATTCGACCCTAACAAGCGCTTTCGACCCTTATAAGGGTCTATTGGTCCCGGGTGCTTCCAGCGGCTGCCCTGCACCGAAGCCAATGCATGCTCTAAACCTAGGGCAAGCTACAGACCCACGCCTGTATTGCACAGGCTTAGCTCTCCTGGCAGTCCAGCTGCCATCTACATGAGCTAAGAGGCTAAACTCCCTTCAGAAATCCTGGTCCAACGCAAAGGGCTCAGCAGAACCAGCCATGACACCGGCTTTCCGGCTTTCTGGTACTCACATGTGCTCACCCACCCGCTTCTCGCGAAAGTTGGTCTTCCCCGCACAGAGATCATCTCCATCCAGCCGAAGGGGTTGGTCTAGTACTGAGGCGAAACTCGATGCTCATCAAGTCCTTGATTTCTTTGCCAATTCGATCGAGCGCAAGATGTTACAAACGAAGTCCCGCTCCATGTCGACGGCGCCTCCGATTCCTGCGCGATGCCCTCTGACAGACAGGCGAAGTCCGCATGAAGCCCTTCTGAGGCTCGTTGGAACATGTCAGGCCAGGCAGCCCTCGTTTCGGCCGGAGTGTACAAAAAGCCCCGCACAACAAGCTCAGTGAAGGAGGCCTCGGCTCATTCGCTGCACCGCCCACTGTGTCGTGCATCGTCGGCATGGTGTGGAGCGTCGAACAGATGGTCCTTCTCAAGGCCAGCGCCGGCGGGCCTAAACTGACTGATCTCCATGTCCAAAAAGAAGCCTCGTGCACACGACCCAGCGCCGCGGCTTGTGCTTCAGGGGATCCTTCTCTAGCTCCGCGGAAACTCGTCGGAAACTCTGCTCTTCAGATCCGCTGAAGCGGAAAGCACCCGAGTGAGGTCTGCCATTGACACTGTCGCAAGCCTGAAAGCCCGGAATGCTTCTGAAACGCTTGGCCAGCAAGGAAGGTCCGGGTCAGTGGACTGTTGCTGCGGACAGCGGCTGGTTTGTCTCTTCCAAAACACGAAGCCTGAGCAAACTTGCCGAAGCAAGCTTGATGGCACAGTTCTGGATGGCGCACGGAGCGTACAAATCGACAAAGTGCTTCAGAGATTGTAGGCTAGGGATTGTGCAGAATGCCTCACTGTAACTTATTGCAAGCCAGAAAGCGAAGTCCTGTGCAAAAACAGACAATGTATGTTCTTGAACCAACCAAAAGTTACCCTCAGGAAGTGAACTAAGAATCCTAGCGCCAGTGTCGCTTTACTCAATTCCGCAGAAGAAGCTATTTGTGCACGGCTGCAGACAGCATCGGAAGTGCATGGGCAGAAGACTGTAAGCCCGGGCGGGAGGACAGCTGAAAGCTTAACATCCCAGCAAGTTCACATCGCCAAATAAAATGAAGAATGCAGAAAAAAAAGGAAAAACACGTAATACTCCATTTGAAAAGAACAACAGGTAAGGAATTCACACCAGTCAGAAATAGGAGATGAGTGGGCGAAAGATGCTCCAGAAGAAACAATACCTGCACATTTTGGAAGATGCGCGCATAGCTGAGAATAAGTTGCAGGTCAATGCAGGTCAAAGTCCCGTCTGGAGTACAAATCATCGCTGCATCTTCATTCATTTCCAGCCTTAATTAGACTTGGCCTCGACGTCTCCCTTTTTCCATTGAAACAACCCTGCAACATCAGAAAGTTAAGCTGCTTCTCCGCCTTGCACGGCGACCTCGAACTTGTCGGTCCACTCTGGGCGTTGTGGATTCCTCACAAAACATAAATAACAAAACAGACCCGAAGCTGTGACATCTCCAGGCGAAATACTGTCAATTTCAAGCGCTGGAAGACATCGCAGAAAAAGCCAAAAGAAGGCAATGTGGGTTAACACTTTTTTGGATGCTCTTGTACCACTACTGGCTGCGCCTGGTTCCGCCCCGCTGCCCCGAAATGCACTCAAGCAATGCTACCTTCGTTTTTCGTTCCAGAAAACTAGGGAAACGGGGAGCCCGCGAATGACCAAGAAGCGTCGATCGCAGCGGGGTCGATCATGCCACAAAGAAAGTGGAAATACATTGACCCAGTTTGAAGTGCCAAAGGCAGGTCCTGGGAGAGCCGTCGCAGTGCAGGTCGTCACGGGGAAGAGTGACCTGGCCAAGAAAGCTCCAATCCCGAATGGCCCTAATGCCTCCTCAACATGTGAGCCAGTTCTGGAGATCTTGCAGTTCTGCCTCCTTGCTACTTGAGCTGCTCTGACCCACTGTAATTGTCTCGCAGAGCAGGCGCGCGTGCCTCCAAGAATTTCAGCAGTTCAGCCATGTGAACAGCGGCCAAATTGGCTACCTCAAAATGTTCAAACCCCATCCTGCCGAGGTGGTCGGCGATCTCGGTGGCAATGGCCTGGCCCCTGGCCTGCCCGCGACGGCGGCTAGGTGAATGGTGAATGCATTCTGAATTCCTTGGCATCTTGGCATTGACTTTGGATCGATCCGCCTCTGCAAAGACAATGTCATCGTAGTGCGTGGCCGCCTGCCAGATCGGATCGAACATCGAACGGGGCAGGGAGCTGGTTCGCCTTCACGAAGCTGCTGCTGTCGAATCCTAGCTCGTGAGTCCGGCGTGCCATTCAGACCAGACAAGCCACCGACCGTCGGGAAAAAGCCCGACCACTGCAAGCTCGTTGTCGTGCAAGTAGGTCTCCGCATCCTGACGAGTCAGCCTGGCCTGCCAAGTTGGCCAAGTTGACTGCGTCCGCCTCCACTGATTTGAGCACATGGTCGCGCTCCAAGTGCCGATTCACCCATTTCACGATCTGTTGCCACCTGGACTCACTGTCTCAGTTTTAGGACTCGAGAAGGCTTTCCAGCGAAACCTGAGGGTCACACCCACGGCCTTGCCCGTCGTAGCTGAAGACAGTGCCATCCACAAAGAGCTTCATCGTGGGGTACTCGTGGATCTCGTTCTCCTCCCCCACGGACCTCAGCTTGGAACAGGACCTTATCATAAGGAGCTCCGAGCCATTCCGCGCTCAGATGCGCTCAGGCAGCAACGCATATCTGCTGGTGTCCACCTTCGCCAGGCGGATGGGCCTCGGGAGCGCGGCACGGGGAGAGACCTTCGGAAGGGCGAGGCTGCGAGGATGTCGCGGATCGTGGATCTCCAGCTTCTGCGCTGCCTGGTCCCACGCGGGCATGACCTGTGACGGAAGTGACGGAAAGAAAGAACAAAAGCAAACACGTGAACAGACCGACTGCATCCGACTGCGCTGGGCAGTGCTGTTTGGGCAACATTGGCTCTACCTTTGCAAAGATCCCTCTGGCGGCACTTGTCGGCAAGTCGTGAATTCCTACAGGAGCATGCAGTATGCTTTGCCTTCAGGCAAGCACTAAACAGACTGCGTCCAAGTACGCCACGGTGTGGGGATCAATGCAACATGCAAAACATGCTTTGCGCATGCACTTCAGATTATACAGTGTACAATGTGGCGGTATCTGCCAGCAAACTACTCAATCCAGCTCATGCATCCCACATGCACCACCCTGCTGCGCCTCAATCGGCGTAAAAGTCTTGGCTGCCATCAATCCACGAATGCAGACAACACCCGATGCAAAAACGACTGGCCTCACATGCACTCCAGGATTGTCCTCCTTAGGCTTGAAATCTGCCTGATCGACAGCTTCTTCCTTTGGCCAAAGCCCAGCTTTCCCAGCTTGCTGCCTAGCTTGCTGCCCAGCTTGCTGCCCAGCTTGCTGCCCAGCTTGCTGCCCAGCTTGCTGCCCAGCTTGCTGCCCAGCTTGCTGCCCAGCTTGCTGCTCGGTTGGCTTCCCAGATTGTCCGGACCGCGCAGACGCAGAGCCGAGAGTACGGCTGCGTGACCAGCGGCAGCTCGAGCTTCGCTCCATTGCGGACCTGGGCCTGCTGGGCCGACTGGCCTGACTGGCCTGACTGGCCTGACTGGGCATGCTGGGCGCGCTGGCACGCACGCTGGGCATGCGGCTGGAAGCCGTCTTTGGCCGGGAGACCGAGCCCTCACTGAAACAAACCTCCGTCAAGGGAATGGATCCCAGCTCCGAGACTGGCGGACTCGGCGCGTGCGCGGGTCCCCGCTGGCCGGAGCACCTTGGAGGGATCACATTTTGGCACAGAGGCGCTGTGCTTGGAAACCCGGACGTCGGCCTGCTTCTGGGCGACACACCTTGGCAACGCAAGACTGGTCAGTAGCTTTGGAATCCTGCACTCACTTCCTGACTTTCTCCAAGCTGCGACTCTTTTGGACCTGCACAGCCGGACGGCCATGCCGCTGGGCAAGAGCTTGTGCAAAGAAGTTCTGGTAGGATGTCCCCTTCTGAAGCGTCACGAGTTGCGGAGCCAGGCAAGTGCGGACGGCCTTGCTTTCATACAGATTTGGTGGCGCAGCCCTTTTGTTCACGGCCATGGAGCGCTTGTGGACCCGGAACATCGTGGCGCGATAGCTGTGAATGGACATATCGGTTTCCGACGCAAAGGTGGACTGGGATCCCACTGAAGTGGATCTTTGTGCCTAAGCCATCTGACAGGTGCGCTCACGTCTCGTGCTTAGAACCCCACGCACGAGTCTCCGAGACCACAGGCATTGTCTCGCCTGGCACTCAATCCTAGCATCTTTCCACCCAGTTCCGGCCTCGTGCGCGCCATGCCAATCACCTGCCACCAGCATGCCACGCATTGCCACGCAAGCCACATAGAACACAATCGGCCTCCAGCTCATCCCAAGCATGTCGGGATCTGGCCCGAGCAAGCGACACCAGACAAGTGAACTCGCAGATGGCACAAATGGCACTGCGGCAAGCATGCAACGAGTCTAAGATTACTGCCTGTCTGTGGTTGGAGAGTCAACCTGGGTGCAAGATACTTCCGTCCATCCAACTGTGAGCTGCCAGCCTGCGCCCATTGCCCCATTTCTAGCGCATCCTACAGCCCCTGACCAGCTCACCCTGGAGCACTCTGAAATCTGGACATGATGTGATTTTGCTCTCGAAATACAAATGTGAGCTACGAGCTGTCGTGCAAAATGGCTGCAGCACCCAGGGCCGGCAATCACGACAATCAGTCGGCAAGTCGGCAACTGGACTGGACAAATTGTCTGACAAACTGCGCCTGCTGAGAGAAAAAGCACCAGGGCGCGTAGAACAAAATCGCCGTGACAGGATGGTCCTTGCCGAAAGTGTCGGTTAAGCTGTAGGATTCATGTTGAGCTGCATGCATAAGTTGGAACGAGTTCGGAAAGTGTCCTTCATATGCTGCGAAAAGGTCCGATCCGTAAGCTCATCAACGGCCTGAAGCCGCACGGGCGTAAACATCCAAAGTAGCAGTCCCCGGTGACCAACACTGAACTCAGCCGCGAACATGTTGAGTCCTTGGCTGCTCCAAAATAGATGTCGACAAGTTTACCGCTGAGGCAACAACGACAGCAGGCCGCCAAGATCAAATCCGGCGACCTCGAGTTACGCAAATGCAGCGAAACCTTGTGCAGTGTGACTCGGAAAGCTGTGCAAAACTCTCCGGCCCCTCAGCCAGCAGCGGGCCACAGTAGAATAAGTGACCAAAAACGTGCCATGGCGACATGCATCGCAAAGCGCTCGTACAGTTCGTTCACTGTTGCCACTGCAGTATGACTTAAGAGTTGTAGGCAGCTCAACAAAGTATCGTATGCAACACGGTTTCCATATTCCTTTTAGCCCGGTGCTGGATCCAGCTGCGTGACGCCTGGATTTGTGTTACTCGGCGCCGCTTGGAAGCTAATCACTCAATGCGTCAAGAGGCGAGAAGCAGAAATAGGCTTTGACAAAAGCCCTGGCTGTTTGCAAAGGTCGCAAAATGCAAAGCGCAAAGGCGCAAGGAAAGAAGGAAACAAACACTTCGAACGCTTCCCTACAACCTGAGCTTCATTGGCCGAGCTGACCTATTCGACCATGCTGTGGCGCAGATTCTGCAACAATGTAAAACGCTGCCTCTAACTCAATAATCTATGGGGACTTTGTCTCGTTGAAAACAGGACGTCCAAATGGCACTGTCCAGTCGAATGGCAGGGCCCTTAACTTCAGCAAACCTCAGAACTTGGCCAGCCTTTAGACTGATTTCCCATGGTCCAACGAATACCGTCCATATGAGGCGGAGCATGGTGCTTAAAACGGAGCCGAGCTTCCGCCAAAAAGAGGAAGGGACACACATAGTCACTGGCCGACCCGCTCTGCGACTGAGAAAGTGTTCAGGAGCTATCAAATGCCCTGGCAGGTTTGCACGAAATGGCCTGCTGGTCATTGCACCTAGGCCTATCCAGAGGTTGCCCTGCTTGACCCTCAATGCTTGCGCCACTGGCAATCAATGATAAGTCTTGCTTCCAGTGTGTCAAGATCAAGCGCTCCAATGAGAGCACCGTAGAGCACCTGGTCTGGCAATTTGTTCTGAAGCTAGCTTGATTCCCAACCAAAAAGACATCCAATCAGCCAGGAAGAAGCAAACCTGAAGCCAACCAGCCAAAGAGCCTCCCGTTGCAGCGTGGCTCGCAATGATGCGGCTTGCTTTGGTTTGATGCTTGGTGCACTATAGCATCCAGAAACATCTAGCCATTGAGCAGTGGTTCAAATACAAATCCAGTAGCGCCATCTTATCCCAGCACATCCCCAAGCACGGACGCTCTGTAGTCCGGGGAACACAAAGCAGCCCGTTCACCAATGTTGTCAAGTGCCGATTGTCGCAACGAACCACGGGTCTAATCGCGGCACCCCTCAGGCTTCTTCGTGTTGCCCAATCTGCACAGGCCGAGGCTTGCTTCCTCAGAAAACCCACCAGGCAGCACGTGCAAGCAAATCCAAATGTCGCACCTGCAAACCTATTCAAAGGGCATCAACATCACACCAAATCATGTGATCAGGCGAGGTTCCCAGGTGCATCGCAAGTCTTCGGTCTTGTTCAGCTTGGTGTTGTTCACGCTAGTGTACATGCCGTGGCAGCTGCCCTCGTCTTGAAAGTTGCAGCCCGTGTTCTTCGACTTCGTGAGGTTGCGGAACAGCGCGCAAAGACTCGGCTCGCAGCACACGTCGTCGCTGCCACCTGTGATATTGCCAGCGCCAGGGACCAGCGCTCCTTTGCTGCATTGGTGCAGGCTGCAGGTCTTATCGCAGCATACGGAGGAGGCCTCCCCGACCGTGTGGTTGCGCTGGAAATTGCTTCCTGTGCAGGCCGTCCAAATGGCTGACACGCAAAACATCCGGGTGACTCTCAACGCCTTTTCCCCGCACCCGTTTCATCAATACCCTGTCATGGCCTTCACATCATTAACATCGGCACAGTTGCCTCAGGAGAAACCACCTATTCATCATCATCACCATCACCATCATCATTGGCACATATTGGCACCATCCGCATCCCCAGCATCCCCAGCATCAGCAACATCAACAGCATCAACAACGCCCCAACATCAACAGACTTCCCCGCGTTGTCACCATCCACAGCATATGAACCACCGTCCAACCCATCTTTGCTCCAGCATCACCAGCTCTACGCGAGTCGAGGCCACAATGTTGAGCTGACAGGGTTTGACAAAGGGACCTTTGAAGGCTGAGATGGCACAAATGTCCGAGCAAGAATGTTGGACAGGCCTCTGCACGATCCCTTTGCAAGCTGGCGATGGAAAGGCACAAACTGGGCTCGGGAAAGGACCTGGGCCCCACTTTCGAATGTTGCAAGGGAAGCCAAGCTGAAACCTCTCACTCTTGGGGGTCTCATTTTGAAAACGTTTTTACGACATGCATCATGGATCGTTCTTGACTTGAGATTTGCTGCTCCTGGCACGTAGCCAGCACCGCACTGGTGAATCTGGCAGGTCTTCTGGCAGCAAGTGTCGTCGTCTGCAGGCCAGGCGCTGGCATGGGCGGGATTGCTGACATAGGACTCGGGGCAGGCGTAGACCTGGCCCGATGCTTGTCTCACAAAAACCTGCAGACAACCCCGAAACAAGCAAATGAAATTTAAGGATTTCCCCAAAGCTTTTGCTTTAGATCAAAGGGAAAGACATGAGACGAGATGGGCCTGGCAGGTCTTCATGCAGCACTGCATGTCCTTAGCCGTCGAAAAACCAACTTGAAATCTGACTAAGGGACACGTGTCCCAAGCGTTGAGGGCAGCACGTTGCAGGGCTGGGTCACGCAGCTCCTCTCAAACGAAACTGGCAGGCAGACGTTTGCTTTTCTCTCTGCAGGTTGAAATGTCACAGTCCTGGCGTCGCCCAAAGGCTTCCAGCCCTGGCTGCACTGGAAGCCATGCTCACCGCTGAGATCTCCGCACCTGTACCCAAACACTGGCGCTTGCAGATAGTCGCAGATAGTGAGGATGGCTGAGCTTGGCACTTCTGCTGGCAGCACTTCTGCCCGTCGCCTGCCACCTGTCAAACGCGTTCCGTGCCCGTGCACGTATGCGACGGACTCTGCGCCCTATGCGTCTCCATGCTGCACCTCCGAGAGCTTGTCCTTGACGTGCTCAAAGCCGTTGGGGCAGCTCACACTTTCGCAGGTAGGCCTGGGACAACGCAATCTGGCCCGACTCTCCGCCTTTCTTTACCTCTTTCCCGTTCTGCCGAGGCCCTTGGGCCTGGGGCATTCTGGGGCTTTGCGAGGTCTGCATCCATTTTTTGGGTTTCCGAGATCACACAGAAGCCACAATTCTAACACCTCAGCAGGGCAACGGTGCACTTGCCATTGCTCCAACATCACCAGTCCGCATCGCCAGCATCACGTCTTCACATTGCTTTTCTGGGCGGGCAGCCCAGTCTTGAAACTGCATCAGCTCAGCGCGAAGTAGCGACAAGCCGGGGAGGGGGTCTCTGGGCGGATCTCTCAGTCTGGGCCGCCGAGCCGGGCTTGCGGTAGCATTTCAATTGCTTCCATGATTTCCGTTCATTCCCTTCTCATTCCACTCAGGCACTCCACTCAATCCATTCATTTCATTCAGCCCAATCTTTTGCATTCCAGTATGTTCCGTTCCGTTCCGTTCCGTTCCTTCCTGCCTGTGTTTCTTTTCGTCAGTCATTCTTTGCTTTTTCATATTTTGTGGCTCATTGCGCTGCTACACTGGTACGCTGTCACCCCAATGCAACGGGGCCACTTCCACTGCTACACTCACAGTTCGCCACGCTGAACTCTGCGAGGTGTTGGCAACAACGTTACCATGCCCTTACGCTGCTTGTGCTGCCTTACACTGCTAAAACAGCGAACACTGCCTTCACTGCAACGCTACGTTATCTACACCACGCTGTGTTGTGCTGCCCTTCGCTGCTGGAACAGCGTCAGCTGCCTCCGTCTGCCTGCGCCTTACGAGCCTCCGCTGAATATAATGATTGACAGTGCCTATGCTGCACCGACACCTCGAAGTCACCACGAGTCGTTCAAAGGGGCTCTTTCTGAGACCGGGAGCCCAGCACAAGGCACAAAAGCGAAGTGAACCTGTAGAACAACTCAAAAGCAAACGGCACGCAGGCCTTCCCCACGAGCTGCCATCTTTACAGCATGAATGAGTACCCTTGCGTGACCACATGCGCAGCAACTACCTAAATGGATGTACAAAATGACATATTGATGTTGAACACCCCAAACTCACCCACGTCACACAATTTCAAGAAGGACGTATGGCAATGAGGAAAAGGACCACCGCTCCGTGCTGAAAAGCCTCGCTCACCATATTTGTGCTAGCGACCTAAGCGAGAACCCAAGCATCAGAAATGCTTTTGAGAAAATAGCGTGAGTAAGCTCGTTGTAGGCAGTGCGTGCGGCGTCAGTGGTGTACCCACTGCACACAGTGTAAAGCAGTGCGACTGCGCTGCGCAAGGACACAGCGATGCGACGGGGCAGCGGTGCGATGCTGCTTCGGCGCGCTACCCAAAGTGTAACGATGTTTTGCATTGAGCCCTCGCGAATTTCTTGTCTTTTCTTGCTTTGTTGTTCCTTCCTTCCTTGCTTCCTTGCTTCCTTGCTTCCTTGCTTCCTTGCTTCCTTGCTTCCTTCCTTCCTTCCTTCCTTCCTTCCTTCCTTCCTTCCTTCCTTCCTTCCTTCCTTCCTTCCTTCCTTCCTTCCTTCCTTCCTTCCTTGCAGAGCCACATACGGGGCGCGGCTGGGCGGCTGGGCGGCCGGGCGCGCAGCAGTCTGCGGGGCTGGTGGCGGGGCTGCTCAGCTTCGCAGGCAGATGCGCGGACTTTGTCGGGCAAGAGATGGCCGCGCAGCTGTCCTGACAGCAGTCCAGCGGATCCGTGGACACCTGCACAGTGACGCGCTTGAGTCATATCCATTGAGAAATCTGGTGCTTCGCAGCGGCCTTGCTCAGGTGAGGCGAGCCCTTCGGCCAGCTGGTCTTGGGGTACGCACAGGCCACCGACGCACAGGTGGCAGAGCAGCACTCCTGTCAACTTCCATGACGTCTGCGTGAACTTTATACGCCCCACGCGTGGCACATGCTAACTTGCACGAGTGCTCCGTGGCGTTGACACCGGGCTTGTGTGGATCTTTCATCACATGGCCGGCGGGACCTCGGATATTGGCACAGCCTTTGACCACCTAGCACATTCCAGCATGCTGCTGGAGACCACTTCGTCACTTCAGCTCGGCACAAGTGACTTTGGCGCCGCTGCAAGTGATGTCACAGCACCTTGTGACACTGTGATGTGAAGTATGGGCTCCTTTCAACGCATTGAGAAGAGGTCTCAAGGTCTAAAGCGACCACTCTAAACGTGCTCAGGGGTGGGAGTGGGGTGTTGAGGATCGGCTGAACTCCAACAGCGCTCAAATCGTCTCGGGCACTGCTCATCGCTGGTCCCTGCGTTGCCGTGGTAGGCCTGCACAGAAAGATGGCGAGCCGAAGCGAGGCTGGTCGCAGTGAGCCAACCTGAAGAGAGTGGATGGTGAAGCGAGTGGAATGGGACGAACAACAACGGACTTTGCTTCGAATGCCCGTCCGATCAAAGTTCTGATCTGAGAAACTTCGAAAGTTCAATGCTTCGAAACTTCGAACTCGCCACGACTGCCACGACTGCCACGACTGCGCCGACGCCACGCGCCTCGTTCCTGACGAAGCCCGGGGAGCAGCGCCAGCCATCGCAGCTGGGCTTCTGCTTCAGCGCCGCGGCTGCAGCCTACGTCAAGTGCAACAAGCCTATGGAATCCGAGAATCAATCAAACACTGTGTACAATACGCATCTCTTTGTAGATGTGTATGAAGCATGTATATCATGTATGACTGTAGCCACTGTCACTGTATACCATGTACTTCTTAAATGGTTCGAAGTATCGAGCGAATTGGAAGGCCCTCTGAGGTGGCGTCCAGCAGCGCCAGCTTCATTACCTCGAAATCCGGACCAAAGAAGCGAGAATGGAGCGAAAGAAGAAATCTCAGACACGAAGAGAAAGAATGAGATGAAGAAAAAGAGCCGCTTGTTTGATTTCTGTGCCTGCTTCATCCAAATACAAACCGCTCCTCGGCTAATCTCATATGGGCATGTGTGTGGGGAAGTCATTTAGTGTGATGCAAGGGCAAGCCAACCAGTGACTCCCTGGAGTTGGCTGCGCTGCGGGCCGGACAAGCATCCTGACAGGGCGCGGGGAGGCCGGTTCCACTTGAGCCGGCTGCAATAGACGGAATTTCTAGGCAAAGCTATGACTGCTATGACCAGTCTCTGCGACTTCGCGTGTGCGGCTCCGGGATCAGCCGCTTTTTCCGCAAGCTTTGCACTCTCCAAGTCCACAAGCAGGTCAACCACCTGGAGAACATGAGCTCCAGAAGCGCAGCACCCCTGGCCACCCTGCTTGTCCCGTCCTCGAACTTCAACAGTGCAAGCAGCTTGCCTCTCCTCAAGTAGACAAGCACGCAATACAAAATATGGATCTAAGTCTATATGTACCGCTAAGCAAATCCTGATTTTCATGAATTCTTCTGTGGAGCTGCTGCTTCAGGTGCTTCATGGTGTTGTGGTTTGCAGTTTCATGAAAGTGCACCACGGCGTTGGGAAGCGCGGCCTCAGCTTCAAGCACTGGAAGCTCTGGAAGCTCTGGAAGCACTGGGAGCACTTTGGAGCACTGGGAGCACTCAGAGTACTTGGAGCAGCGCAGCATGTCGATTGTCTGTGTGGTTCTCAGCGCCGACATGCAGCTGCACATTCCGCCCACGCGTGGCATCCTTGGGCGGTACAAGCATTGTGACCGCCTTCGGCTTCAATGGATCCGGGCCTGCACTCGTCTCCGGAACTGCTCACGCACGGATGCCGATGCGAAGGATGGCCAGGTGTAAGCCTAAGGGCAGACGCAAGCAGTTCGCAAGGCCGCTTGGCAAACTTGTCATTGGCCAAGCCTAAGCCTTCGGATCCGAGATGCCAAATCCACCTGAGGGCTGAAGGCATGAACTCGGTTTGCCAGATTCGCAAAGAGCAGCGCGGCGGAACCTCAATGACTCAAGTCAAGTCCCACTCGCGAGGCGCTTTTGCGGCAACTCGGAGACTCAGCCTCGAACCTCCCATGGAGCCGCCCCAGGCGAAGACCCGCCGGTACCGACTGGTGATCCTCGAGATCCTCTCCTCGAAGTACCTGGGTCATCCATTCAAAAAGAACAATAAGTCATATGTATATATATGTATGTGTATGTATATGTACATATGTATATATTTGTTAGACTTGGAGCAACTGTGTAACCTGATCACGTGATGTTCACTCTGCGATCCTGTACACCTCGCTATGGATTACTCCTAGGCTGGGTTAGAGAACTCGTGGCTACGTGTATATGCTGCAAAACATACATGTCGCTGTGGTACCATTCACGGAAAAACCAACAGCAATGAGTTCATAAACTTTCCAATTGATTGCTGGAAGTCATCTCCGCGTCTGCCCTGCAAAGCATCCGTTGTCTGCCCCACAAGTCAAATAAAGCAAGAACCTTGGTATTGGGAGGGGGTCTTAGCATATTATATATATGATAAATTGTTAAACTCAATGTGACTGCGTGAACCTGTTGATACCTGAAAGTGTAAACCTGTGCTGTGAACGACACGGCGCTGTAGCACTCTTTTGTGTCCTACAGCATCCCAACGAAACCCAATGTGGGGCATCGCGTGTAGCCAGGAATCTTCTGCCTGGTTCGGCTCCGATGTGACAGTTGTTGTCATGAAACTGTATTGCTCCACTGTAAGTGGAATCATCACTGCGGTGTAGTCCTGGGGCTCCTCTGGTGTAGTCGGGATGATGGCATCCACCGGCTCCAATGTAAAACCCTCTGGCACTGTCATCAGTAAGTGGCTGCAGCATGTGCTGGGCCATTGTCAGAAACATGTATAGAATGTCACGCAAAAGTTGTTGCCCCAAAAGATGCAAAAGGGGTTGTAGAGGCTTCAGGGTTGGTCCATGGCTGTATCTAACCTAAAGCTAAAAGAGCATGCGCCGGCCGTTTGGTAGTAAAATATACATGTGAAAACTGTGCAGCTGTTGTTTAACAACCTGTGCTGACTACTGTGCTTACTGGTGTGAGACTGTTGCGGTGTGGCCTCAAAGGCCAACTGTGTACGTGTGTTTGTTGAGTGTGTCGCAGCCAACGAAGTTGGTAAGAAGGTCGGCTGGATTGTCTTCTGACTTTTCCCTGCGCATTGTAATGATTTTGCTCTTGACAAGTTGTTGTATCAAAAGGTCTCGCAGCTCGATGTGTTTTGCTTTCTGTGGTGTACCTATTGGCGCTGCTGTCTGTGTGTGTCCTGATGTTGGTGCGAACTTCAAATGCTTCCTTGATGAAGTTGCTGATGTAGAGGCTTTCCTGTGCTGCTGTACCAATTGCGCGCAGCTCTGACTCTGCTGATGAAAGTGCTATTGTTGCTTGTGTCCGTGGGCCCGCTGGACTGCGAGAGCCTGGACTGCACCTTCACGGTCCCGAGCGGCGGAGTGTCGACGGGCAGCGTACGGTGCGCGGCGACGTGACGAGCTCGGGCACGGTCTCCGCCCCGCAGCTCTTCGCGTCCAACACGCTCCTGTTGCGCTCTTCCTTGTTATCTCGCATGATGCCCAGTTGGCATCGGTGTATGTGCCAATGTTGAGTGGAATTCGCTTGTCCTGTGTTTGTATCTTTGGTCGTAGGTTATGTTGCATGTACCTTGTTCCTTTAAGGTATCTGATCATGCGCCTGAGCTTCTTGTTGTCAAGTTGCGTTGGTGCTTGTAGTGATCTTGCTAGTTCCTTTGCTTCAATCAAGTGGTGCTTCATCTTCTGTTGTAGCTTTCATGTGTGACACTCCTGGTGACGGTGATGGGTCACCATCAAAACCATGCAAATGGAGGGTTTCACAAGTTCTACACTTTGTAATGGTTCCTTTATAAAGGCTCCTTTAGAAGGAAGCTTTATAAGGAAGCTTTATAAGACCTTTATAAAGAAGCCTGTATAATAGAAGCAAGTGTGGAAAATGTAAGACCATCAAAACCATGGAAATGGAAGGTTTCACACGTTCTACACTTTGTACGGGTTCCTTTAAAAATGCTCCTTTAGAAGGAAGCTCTATAAGGAAGCTTTATAAGACCTTTATGAAGAAGCTTTTATAAGAGCCTGTAGAAGCAAGTCTTATGATTGACAGCGGTGCGTCTACACATGTATGTCGACCATGGTTTGCGCATCAAGCTTTTCGGGTACAGATGGGTTTGCGTGACAAACCGCAGCGGACAACAAATTGTCATACCATTTTACGTTTGTGAGGTTAAACAGCCGATTCTTTCAGCTACAAGGCTGGTGGAACAAGGTTTCCAACTTACATTGGATGACAATCCAAGGCTACAGCGCATCAAAGGATTCAACAGCACACTGGAGATCAGAAATGGCTTGTTCTTCCTACAAGCAGAGACGACAACATTGCCAAAGGGAGCAAAGCTACAAGTACACAGCACAGAACAAGGACAGATTGGCATGATAGAGTAGTCGGGGGCCTCGCCCCGCAAATAAATTGCTTCATACATACCCCCCACCCTACATTTTTTTTCATCTTCCATCTTCTACCCTTATTTGTTTTCATCATTTTTCTACATTCCTTTCTGTCCATCTCATCCGTTTTTTTATCATCATTTTTCCAAAATTTTCGCCATCCTTTTCTCCTTTCTCCTCGCCTCATTCATTTCACCAACTACCCTCCAAAATGTCATTTCCTCAATCTCCTCACCTCATCCATTTCAAAAAAATAAATTTTGCAAAATATATTGCAAAAAATATTTGTCGTCAAAAAAATATTCGAACTGTCTAAAAACGATTTGTCCATTTCCCGGACAAAAAATAGAACAGCAACAACATCACTCCCTCCTTCGTTTCATCACTTTTATCATATATTTGTTTGGGCGTGGTCGCATAGCTTGCGAGCTTCGCTAACGCTCGCGTGTCCCTTGTAGGATTTAGGGTGGTCAATACCAAAATCATCACTCCTAATCAGTAAATGATACAATAGTGTTCATATTATTGTATCAATCACTCTAAGTTTCCCTATGCTTCTCCATTGTGTGTTTCTCCCATTGATACGGTAGAAAACTGGCTCTACATGTCAAGCACCTAAAATGCTTTTTGCCATCTATGATTTTGATTTCATCAGGTTCTGGCAGTTTCTCCTCAGATTTCTCGCTTCTTCTCAGGTTTCCTTGATGCCATGCTGTTTTCTCGTGTCTTGCTTTGCTTTTTAGTTGCACTTCAACATCACATAATGGACAGTAATGCGTTCTTGTTTTGTATTCCTTCATGTATTCTCTTTGCCTTTCTTGGTATTTTTCAGGATTGTTCTTTCTATCTTCCCTTCTGTATTCTCTGTATTTTTCAGGGTTGTTGTGGTAGTGTCTTTTACTTTTTGCTCTACATATATTGCAAGTCTTGAACCCTTCTTCAAACTTGTCGGCTTTTTGATTGAACATGCATTTGCTACAATACTTTCTTTCAATTTCCATCCTTATTATCTATAGGTGTTCTCTCTTTAAGTGTAAATCCAAGCCTATAATTATGAAACAAATGTAGGCGTGGTGCTCCTTGTAGGATTTTATCTTCAAGTTCTAAAACGCTATACTTACATTAGAATTATAACCTATAAATACTTACATTAGAATTATAACCTATAAGGGTATAAATGTTATAATCATAGTATGGTTATAATTTAAACACCTACATTTGTTGCACTCAACATCTACATATGTTGTGTTCAACATGTACATGTCCTCAAGAAAACATGGGTTGTTCCATTGCTCAAATGTACACATGTTCAACCCAACATATACATATGTTCAACCCAACATATACATATGTTCAACCCAACATATACATATGTTCAACCCAACATATACATATGTTCAACCCAACATATACATATGTGAACTCCACATCCACATCATCCACTACATTCACCTTTTGAATGTGGAACCCCACATATGTATATGTACAACCCCACATCCACATATGTAGAGCCCCGCATCAGAATATGTAGAGCCCCACATCAGAATATGTAGGGCCCTGCCCTGTTTGACAATTGGTGAGAGTTTCCTGATATATCTATATGAATATTGGTGCTTTTTAAAATTGGTAAACTATGGAAGGCTAATGTCTTCATCTAAATCTAATTCGTCCATCTCTTCACACACTTAGAGCTGAAAAAACAGTTTGTGATGCAACAAGAGGAGCCGACACCAAACACGGATGGCGCACACAGCAAAAACGGATGGCGCACACACCAAAACGGATGGCGCACACACCAATAACGGATGGCGCACACACCAAAATGGTGTGTGCTCATTTTGGCTGGGTTTTCAAGTTTCAAGCCCAACCCCAAACTCAAAATCCTTAATCCGTCAAACTCACTAAGATTTCACAAATTAATTCGCTAGGTATTTTATATAGGTCTTCCTGCTTATGTATTGTTGGATTGTCTCCCCAATTTTCCTTGGTGCCCGATGGAAGCCGTTGTGCGGTTTCAATATGTTTATTATTCCTGATGTTGCCACAATCCTTTTTACATAATTCTCTAGGTTTCCAAGTTGTAATGTTATTCCATAGCCTAGTGCGTTTTCTGTAAGGCATTCCATACTTACAGTAATCTACAGCTTTAAAACCAAACTCATCCATAAACTCCTGATGTTTTAATAATCCAGTTTGTGGATTTTCGATTACAAAATATTTAGGATTGAAATATTTGATAATCTCAATAGTTTTTAAGACAATACTATTGCATATTCGATATTCCTAATTCCCCTAGTTTTTGCTATGCTGTAGTCAGTGCATGGGGGACTACTCCAAATAAAATCAAAATGGTTTCTGTCAAACTGTTTGTAATCCCACTCCAAAATATCAGTGTTGATATCAGCATTTTTCAAGTCTAATGATATCACATTAAATCCAAGCGACTTTGCTATGGTTCCGACGCTTTTTGTTCCGCTAAATAATTCTAATAAATTCATTTATTAGAATTATTTAGATATTAATTATTCAAATAATACATATACTTCATCATCATTTTTTGTAATTTTATAAAACTCTAATGTTTGTTGCTTTGGTTGTTTGATTTTTCCTGTATTCAACATATCACAGTATTTCTTTTGCTTTGTAGGGTAGTCGCCCGATGGTCTTCC